CCGTTATATAATCCTGTCCCTCTTTCTGAGAGTAATATTCTTGAAATAGTGTAATTTTGGACAGTATCTTTCTTAAACTGCCGCTCTGTAATGGTACTGAATGCAGTCCAGCAGCGATGTTGACCTCCCCAAAATGGCTGCGCCGTTGACGTGCCTGGCTGGACCCAATGCGGCATCTAGGTGTGTATATATGGTTTCAACAGTTAGCGCTAACATTATTAGTACATATGCTAGTACATTTTGTTTTCTGTTTTATTTTGTAAACCTTTTACATTAAAAAGCCAAACTAATTTTTTTATAAAAATTGTCACATATACTGTTTTTTTCGCTGCAAGGGCTCAATTATTTACACAGTTATGTAATAAAGCACAGGTACATTAATTAAATATAGTTCCCTTCTGCACTTCTGACTTTTTTTCGCTAACATTGTTAGCATGTATGCTAGTACTTCCCCATTTCCACCTCATCACAAATGAACAGTTAGGTAATTGTAATTATAGAATTATCCCAAATGGGATATTTACATAATTAATTACGTTATAAAATACGTTTGCATTTAATTAAAGTTTGAATCTGCGCTTTCCTACTTTCTCTCAAAAACAAAGACAAACAATTGCAAAAATGTAAAGGATGTTTTTATTATTGTTCTGTACACAACAGTAACATTTCATCAGGTTTAAATCATAATAAAATACCTCCTCTTCTGCTCTAATGTGGTCAGATGTTGAAATCTGCACTTTCCACACAGTTTCTCCGCTCGTTTCAGTAAAACTACGAGTCAGAAGTAATTCATATAAAATCACAGCACATTTTTATTATCTGCAGCAATAACTGCCTCTTCTGAGGGTTAACTCTGAGTTATTGGAACGGGGCCAAGCTCTGGTGCTAACGCGCTGAAGACCTACCACCGTGGTGCTGATGATGTCTGGAGTGTGTCCACCTGAATCTCCACAGCTTGTGCCTTTTTCATTTTCTCCAGTTTTTTCTTCTGTCAATCTGCACTTTAAAATACATCTTTGGTTGTTAATAAACTGACCGTGTCCTCTTCCTTTCTCCTCTGTCTCTGTTCTGTGTCTTATCTACCCTTCTGGTTCTCATAGTCAGGTCAGATCTAGCCTGCAAGAAGTTCTTCATCTCGCTGTCCAGCGTTTCCAAAATCAGAGGTGTTGTTAATAAACAGAGCTGTGTAGACTGACCTGAACCCGTCCTCCAGTAAAAGTACTGTCACTGCACTGAACATCCAGCATCTATCAGTGTAGGAACTGAGGCCATTCTGCTGCCCATGGTTTTCTAGGGAAATTACACAGCTGTGTCCACGTCTGGAGGCAACAGAAATCAGAGACCATGGTGTCATCTTGTAGTTGGTGTCTGTCCAAATCACAGGAAACTCTGGAAGCCTGTTTCTGCCAAATAAAGGAGAAAAAAATCGCCTGCTTTATTTCTCCTTCTGTGTTTGTGGCAGCAGTTTGTTGAATCAATTCAATCTTGAAATATTGACTTAGTATCACAAGATAATTACTCATCATCATCGTCATCATCATCATCAGTAGCAGTTGGGAGAGCAGAGAATCCCAGACGACTCCGTCCCCCGGAACTTTCTCCAGCTCATTCCGGAGGACCCCGAGCCGCTCCCAGGCCAACTTGGATATACAATCCCTCCAGCAGGTCCTAGGATGACCTCGGTCATCCCAGTAGGCTGTGCCTGGTAAATCTCCACCGGGAGGCGTCCAGGGGGCATCAGACCACCTCAGCTGGCTCCTCTCAATGTGGAGAAGTAGCGGCTCTACTCCGAGCTCTTCCCGGAGCTCCTCACCCTGTCAGTAGAGTGTAGCGGCCACTCGTATTCTCGATCTCATTCTTTCGGTCATTACCCACATCTCATGACCTCTTCACCACTACAGTCCGGTACAGTGACCGCATTACTGCTGCCGTCTGTCCCAGCCTGCAGCCGATCTCACCATCCCTCTTCCCATCACTCGTGAACAAGACCCCGAAATACATAACTCCTCCACCTGGGGCAGGTCCTCTCCCCTCATCTAGAATATTTTCTGGAATGTTAACTTACTGTCTGGAAAAATATATAACTTACTTTCTTTAAATTTCTACATAACCCATTATTGTTATGTATTAAGTCAACATTTTGAGAAATGTTGAAACTGGGACATTTTATTGTTTTTTTGAGAAATATATGCCCATTTTGAATTTGATGCCAACAATACACTTAAAAAAAAGAGAGAGACGGGCAACAAAAGACTGGTAAAGTTGTGTAATGCCAAAAACACCTGCTGGAACACCTCACAACTAATTAGGCTGATTGGCAACAGGTCAGTAACATGACTGGGTATAAAAGAGCATCTCAGAGAGGCGGAGTCTTTCAGAAGTAAAGATGAGGAGGGGTTCACCACTCTGTGAAAGACTGCACCATCAAATAGTGCAACAATTCAAGAATAATGTTTCTCAACATAAAATGGCAAAGAACTTCTGCTTCTCATCATCTACGGTACATAATATTATTAGGAGAGTCAGAGAATCTGGAGAAATCTCTGTATGTAAGGGACAAGACCAAAAACCAGTATTTGCTGGCCGTCATTTTCGGCTGCTCAGGCAGCACTTCATTAAAAACAGACATGATTGTGAACATTTCTGAAAAACATTGTCTGTGAGCACAGCTCGGCGATACATCCACTATTTCAAGTTAAAACTGCACCATGCAAAGAAGAAACCATAAATAAACAGGATGCAGAAACGCTGCCACCTTCTCTGGGCCTGAGTTCATTTAAGCTGGACTAAGGTGAAGTGGAAAAGTGTCCTGTGGCCTGATGAATCAACATTTGAAATTCTTTTTGGAAATCATGGACACTGTGTCCTCCAGGCTAAAGAGGAAACTGACCATCCCGCTTGTTATCAGTGCACAGTTCAAAAGCCAGCACCCATGATGTTATGGGGTGCTCAATTTCCTTAAATAAAAGAGAATGAATTGTTGTGTAAACAGTGACACTCCTGTCCATAAGATCCATATATTGAAAATATGCTCTAAAAACTGTGATGTGTTTCTCTGATTCACAAGAACCAGCACATTTACAGTTATCCACCTATTTAGTCTACAGCAGTTCAGACACGCCCACTCACACTGAAGTTATAGGGATTGTTTCAGCTCTGGACTTTGTTTTTGGATGAGGCACAATGCAAGGTAACCAATCAGAACAGAGTTTGTTTACATATATATATATCACTCCTAAAGGTGCAGTAACAAAAACAGTAGGTAATTTAAGGGGATAAAGAAAGGTTGGGAAATGGTCATGTAGAAATGAATTATGGTCACGTTTTGGTGTGTAAACACACAAATGTTATAAGTGGACCTATGGTGTAGGGTGTAGGGAGTAGGATGTAGGAACCAAGGTGTAGGGAGTAGGATGTATGATGTAAAGAGTATGATATAGGGAGTAGGATGTAGGGTGTAGGTTGAATGGAGTATGATGTGAGGGATATGGTGTATGGTGTAGGGAGTAGATGATAAAGACTAAGGAGTAGGATTGACATAATAGGATGTAGGAAGTAGGATGTATGATGTAGGGAGTATGATATGTTGAGTATGGTACAGGGAGTAGGATGTAGGGTGTAGTGTATGGAGTATGATATGAGGGGTATGGTGTAGGGAGTAGATGGTAAAGGCTAAGGAGTAGGATTGACATAATAGGGTGTAGGGAGCAGGATGTAGGGATGAAGTAGAATGTAGAGTGTAGGGATGGAGTAGAATGTAGGGAGCAGGATGTAGGGTGCAGGGAGCAGGTTGTAGGGAGGGAGTAGAATGTAGGGTGTAGGGAGCATGTTGTAGGGAGGGAGTAGAATGTAGGGTGCAGGGAGCAGGTTGTAGGGAGGGAGTAGAATATAGGGTGTAGGGAGCAGGTTGTATGGAGGGAGTAGGATGTAGGGTGCAGGGAGCAGGTTGTAGGGAGGGAGTAGAATATAGGGTGTAGAATGTAGGGTGTAGGGATGGAGTAGAATGTAGGGCATAGAGAGCAGGATGTAGGGTGCAGGGAGCAGGTTGTATGGAGGGAGTAGAATATAGGGTGTAGAATGTAGGGTGTAGGGATGGAGTAGAATGTAGGGCATAGGGAGCAGGTTGTAGGGAGGGAGTAGAATGTAGGGTGTAAGGAGCAGTTTGTAGGGTGTAGGGAGCAGGTCGTAGGGAGGGAGTAGCATGTAGGGTGTAGGGAGCAGGTTGTAGGGTGCAGGGAGCAGGTTGTAGGGAGGGAGTAGAATATAGGGTGTAGAATGTAGGGTGTAGGGATGGAGTAGAATGTAGGGCATAGGGAGCAGGTTGTAGGGAGGGAGTAGAATGTAGGGTGTAAGGAGCAGTTTGTAGGGTGTAGGGAGCAGGTTGTAGGGAGGGAGTAGAATGTAGGGTGTAGGGAGCAGGTTGTAGGGAGGGAGAAGAATGTAGGGTGTAGGGATGGAGTAGAATGTAGGGTGTAGGGAGCAGGTTGTAGGGAGGGAGTAGAATGTAGGGTGTAGGGAGCAGGTTGTAGGGAGGGAGTAGAATGTAGGGTGTAGGGAGCAGGTTGTAGGGAGGGAGTAGAATGTAGGGTGTAGGGAGCAGGTTGTAGGGAGGGAGTAGAATGTATGGTGTAGGGATGGAGTAGAATGTAGGGCATAGGGAGCAGGATGTAGGGTGCAGGGAGCAGGTTGTAGGGAGGGAGTAGAATGTAGGGTGTAGGGGTATGGTGTAGGGAGTAGGATGTAGAGAGTAGACGGTAAGGACTAAGGAATAGGATGGACATAATAGGGTGTAGGGTATATGAAGTAGTAGGGTGTGGAGAGTAGAAGGTAGGATGTAGCGAGTAAGATGTAGAATGTAGGGAGTAAATGGTAAAGACTAAGGAGTAGGATCGACATAATAGGGTGTAGGGAGCAGGATGTAGATGGTAGGGTGTAGGGTGTAGGGAGTAGGGCTCAGAGCGCCTCTGAATGAGACGCGCCCCCGATGTTGCTGCCGGTTACAGCAGCGTGTCTCAGTCCGCTCTAGCCGCGACCTGGCTGGTGATCATGGCGGGTAAAGCAGGCAAGCAGCGCCGCAGCGGAGCGGAGCAGCCGCAGGACGATGAGCAGCAGCCGCTGCAGGCGGTCCTCATCGCGGACAGCTTCAACCGCAGGTTCTTCCCCATCTCCAAGGACCAGCCGAGGGTGAGACAGACCCGAACACCGCGCTGCTAACTGCCTAGCTTAGCCTAGCCTAGCCTAGCCGTGGGCTGCCGTATGAGTGCGGAGAGCTGCTAACGCTAACTAGCACAACAGCGCTGTACCCTCACTAACTTCACTCTCTGAGGGATTCGGGCTCTGAGAGGCTCGGATTCGGGCCGCTGATGGGTAGAAACGTCTCTCCAGGCTTTTCCGAGAGTTTATTGATTCTGCAGAAGTGCTAAACCTGATATTTCAGTTTAACAGCTCCTTCTGAAGCTCAGTCTCTCAGAGAGTGAAGACAGAAAGAGGGGCAGGTTTAATACTCCGCGGTATTACTGTGGTGTCTTTATTACTGTATTACTGTTTATTATTCTGTTATAGTGACTGATGGTGACCCTAATGGTCCAGTATGTGTGCGTGTCTCTCTGAATGACCACGGGAGCCAAACCCGTGAGGAGCGGTTATCTGACCTGCTCTGCTGCACGCGGGTCTCTGTGCGGAATAAATTCAGTTTAATTTGAATTTCTGAGGCTTATTTTCACCCAGTGACCAACACCATGAACTAAACACACCAACTCAGTGGAGTAAACAACTACTGAGCCCCGGAGGTGGGGCTTATTTTCCATAAAGTGTGGACACGAGTTAAGTTTAACTCGTGGCATCCATGTAGTAATTCGTGGCCCGAAATTATTAATTTGTTGCCTTCATATATTAAATTAATTTGTGGCCTCCATACATTAATTTAATTAGTGGCTTCAATAGATTAATTAGTGGCCTCAGTATATTTTATATATTTCTGGCCCCAATATATTTATATATTTGTGGCTTAAATATATGAATTTCTGGCCTCAGTATATTAGTTTATGGCTTCAATGTATTAATTTGTAACCTAAATATATCTATTTGTGGCTTCAGTATATTAATTAGTGGCCTCCATATTACAACCTTATTTCCAAAAAAGTTAGGACGCTGTCCAGAATGTAAATAAAAATATCATGCAGTGATGTGCAAATCATGTAAATCATATTTTTAAAGGAAAATACTACAAAGGCAACATATCAAATGTTGAAACTGAGAAATTTTATTGTTTTTGAAAAAATATATGCCCATTTTGAATTTGATGGCAACAACATGTTCCAAAAAAGTTAGGACGGGGGTCTGTTTACCACTGTGTTTCGTCACCTCTTCTATTAACAACACCCTGTAAGTGTTTGGGAACTGAGGAGACGCTGCTGTAGTTTAGAAAGTGAAATGTTTTCCCATTTTTGTTTGATACAGGATTTCAGCTGCTCAACAGTTCAGGGTCTCCTTTGTCATATTTTTCATTTAATAATGCGCCAAATGTTTTCAGTGGTGACAGATCTGGACTGCAGACAGGTCAGTTTAGCACCTGGACTCTTTTAATACGGAGCAGTGCTGTTGTAACATATGCAGAATGTGGTTTTACGTTGTCTTGCTGAAATAATCAGGCCTTCCCTGAAAAAGACGTCGTCTGGATGGCAGCATATGTTGCCAAAACATGTATATATCGTTCAGCATTAATGGTGCCTTCACAGATGTGCATGTCACCCATGCCATGTGCACTAATGCACCCCCCTATACCGTCATGAATACTGGCTTTTGGACTGTGCACTGATAACAAGCTGAGAGGTCTTTAGCCCGGAGGACACAGTGTCCATGATTTCCAAAAAGAATTTCACATGTTGATTTGTCACTTCCCCTCAGTCCATTTTAAATGAGCTCAGGCCCAGAGAAGGTGGCAGCGTTTCTGCATCCTGTTTATATTTGGTTTCTTCTTTGCGTTTTAGAGTTTAACTTGCATTTGTGGATGCAGTGATGAACTGTGTTCACAGACAGTGTTTTCAGAAGTGTTTCTGAGCCCATGCAGTGATTTCCACTACAGAATCATGTCTGTTTATAATGCAGTGCTGCCTGAGGGCCCAAAGATCACAGCCAGCAAATACTGGTTTTTGGCCTTGTCCCTTACAAACAGAGATTTCTCCAGATTCTCTGAATCTTTTAATGTTATTATGTAGCAGAGATGATGAAAAGCAGAAGTTCTTTGCTATTTCATGTTGAGAAACGTTTTTCTTGAATTGTTGCACTATTTGATCGTGCAGTCTTTCACAGAGTGGTGAACCCCTCCTCATCCTTACTTCTGAAAGACTCAGCCTCTCTGAGATGCTCTTTATACCCAGTCATGTTACTGACCTGTTGTCAATCAACCACCAGGTGTCTAAGCATTACATGACTTTACCCGCCTTTTGTTGTCCCCATCCCAAGTTTCTTGAAACGTGTTGTTGGCATCAAATTCAAAATGGGCAAACAATGAAGTTTCTCAGTTTCAATATTTGATGTGTTGTCTTTGTACTATTTTCAATTAAACATTTGTATTGATTTGTCCAGATCCAGGCTGAGGTAGCAGTTCAGTGAGACTGTTTAGAGCTCCGCCAGGTGGCGTCCATCACTGTTTCAGCCGCGTTTGTCTCTCCTCCTCAGGCTCTGCTGCCGCTGGCCAACGTCTGCATGATCGACTACACGTTAGAGTTCCTGACCTCCACAGGGGTGCAGGAGACGTTCATCTTCTGCTGCTGGATGTCCAACAAGATAAAAGACCACCTGCTGTGAGACCCCGTGATTTATCAGCGTTCATCAGTGTCGCTTCTGTTACCGCGGACTCCCATGATTCAGTGCTGTCGTTGTGTTTTTTGCAGAAAGTCCAAATGGTGCCGCCCCACGTCTCCGAACACGGTCCACATCATCACCTCTGACCTCTACCGCTCCCTCGGGGACGTCCTGAGGGACGTGGACGCCAAGTGTTTGGTCCGTTCGGATTTCGTGCTGGTCTACGGGGACGTGGTGTCCAACATCGACCTGTCCCAGGCCCTTCAGGAGCACAAGTGAGGGAATTCGGGGCCCAGAGGGTTTTGAGTCGTTGTTTGGGGGAAAAGGGGTCATTTTCTTTCATATTCTATGTATGAAGTTTTAGCTACTTATCTATGTGAAATAGTTTGCTACTTTTTCTGGAAGGAATAGTTGTTTCAGTCAAATTTGATATTTAAATTTGTGAGACATTATTCAAAAGAATTCTTGAAAACCACTCACCCCCCAAAAACAAAACCAAAGAAATGATCCACATAGGATGATGTGCAGTGCCTCACAGAGTCTGTGTGAGCTGAGAGTAAAATTATGTTGATGGACGACTCTGAACTGTCTGCCTTTAGATGCAGCAGAAGTCTTTCTGCTTCCTTTACTGGACGTAAGACGCTGCTCTGCGCTGCACACATCGCATGATTCTTGAATATGAGAACGTACAATTTTGTGGGGACCCAAATTGGCTCATCAAAAATTCTTAATTTATAGACAATTTTTTTTTACCTTTTGATGGCTGTGTGACTCACCCCTAGTATAAAGCCTCCTGGTAGTGTTCGAGTTTTGACCATGTACTCTTACGAACACCATAACTTGTAGTTTTTTTTTTGTTGATAAATGTTTTGTTTAAATGTTCTTACACTGTGAAATGTTGATGGTTCAAAGTCAGCCTCCTTTGTTGCACACACTGAAATATTATTATAAAGCTAGAAGTGGAAAGTTGGTGCATTAGTTTGAAGGTGGTTTGACAAAACCATCTAATAATGTTAATAAAGTTAAAAGTTAAAGTGGTGCACTAAAGCACTGCTGATTATCTCTAATAACTTAATTGGGTTTATACAGTAATTCCAAGTAGTTACTGTAGTGTTGCTGTGAGGTTACTGTGGCCTTCTGGTTTGCAGTTAGGGCGTTGCTTGGTGGTTCTTAGGTGGTTATTAAGGTGTTTGTAGGTGGCTATGGTATCCCAGTCGGTTGCTAAGCTTTTGCTAGGCAATTGCTTTACTATTCCAGGTGTTGCTGGCTGTTCCTGTGCTATCCCAGGTGGTTGCTAAGGCGTTGTTAGGCCATTGCTGTGTTATCGCATTTGGTTGCTAAGGCGTTGTTAGGCCATTGCTGTGGTATCCCATTTGGTTGCTAAGATGTTGTTAGGCTATTGCTGTGGTATCCCATTTGGTTGCTAAGGCGTTGTTAGGCCATTGCTGTGGTATCCCAGGTGGTTGCTAAGGTGTTGTTAGGCATCTAGTAAGATGGTGACAAGAACAGTGTCTAAAAGCATTGGTCTACAGAGTGAACTGACTGTGGTGGATTGAAAGGTAGAGCAGGGGTGGCGAACTCCAGTCCTGGAGAGTCCTGCACTTTCCCTCCAGGCCTGCGGTTCTCCACCCCTGAGGTAGAGATTAGAACATTCCTTGTTGTATTCCTATGGAATAACAATTGTTTTTGTATGAACACTGTAAGTGATCCAATAACACAAACATCTTAAATCTTCTCCTTCTCTCCGTCTTGTCTGCTGCCCTCTTTTCAGACTCCGCCGCAAGCTGGAGAAGAACATCTCGGTGATGACCATGATCTTCAAGGAGTCCTCGCCCGGCCACAGGACGCGCTGTGATGAGGACGACATCATCGTTGCCGTGGACAGCAAGAGCAAACGTGTGCTTCACTACCAGAGGACTCAGGGCCTGAAGAAGCTCCAGTTTCCCATGGTATCCAACACTGATCCACTACTGAACTTACAGATAACTGAACATAAACTTGTACAACCTGAACTCCGCACTGAACTGCACAGACTGAACACCGTACAGGGGGCAGAATGAGTTGCACTTATATACACAAGTGTTGAAAAGTCTAAAATTACTGCAGTCAATCAATTATTAATAATTAATTAATGTAAAACATTATTTTCCAAATAAACATATAAAATCTTTTTATACTACTGGTCTTTGACTTCTACTGAGCTTTCTAAAAAATATAAAAAAAATTTCAGAGCTGTAGAAGATTATACAATGACTGAGAAAGCAGTGGAACCTCATAAAATTAACCTCCAGAATGAAGGTCTAATAAAATTAATATCAGGATGAAGTTCTAACAAAATGTACACCCAGAAGTTATTTTATATATTGAATAAACCTATTAAAGTTCTTACTGAAGTTTAGGATCACATAACATCAGAGTGAACAACACAGTAAGTAATGTAGCTGACGTTGCTGCTGTGAGTCTGACCAGTTGCTGTCGCAAACATTCGCAAACAGGACAAAACAATACTGACCTGTTGATTCTGTGAAACAGCAAAAATATGTAACCCATCTGTCAAGCAGGAGCAGCTTCCTCATCCGTTTTCATGGCAGCTCTCAGTGAAGCTGAAGTCAGCTTCTTTTTCGCCAGCTTCTTGTTCAAATTTTCCCGTTCCACTTTAAAAGGTGCAGGAACTGGACTACAATCAGGTGCCTCAGCTGCTTGTTTGAATTTTCCCGTTCCACCTTAAAATTATGTAGCAGATAAGACTACGTTGTGGCGCCCCAGCTTCTTGTTTGAATTGTCCCGTTCCACCTTAAGCGGTGCACGCATGTTATGTGAGTGGTCACTGTCTGCAGGAGGCAAAACAAAACGTAGGACGGGCGACTTTTTCACAGGGCGGGACCTAACATGCACGCTCATCCAGACCGGCTATGAAAACAAAACACACAGAAGCTCAGATTACACACACACAGAGGGGCGTGGCTATTCTCTGCTCAGGATGCCATTACTGCACTATGTCTTTACAGGAAATAGTTGTTTGCTGCTATATTAGTCTTTAAAATGTCGTATGTTTCACCTAAAACAATAAGTAATGTTTAGGTAATTGTATATAAATTCTGTTTGGTTCTGTTTGGCTGTGATGCGTATCGTTGTATCGTTGCTGTACTGAAATGATAACACCGTAAACTAACCCTTACCGTTTCAGAACATCTTCCACAGCGGCAGTGACGAGTTCGAAATCCATCACGATCTGCTGGACTGTCACATCAGCATCTGTTCTCCGCAGGTGAGTGTTCAGTGATGAGCTTTGTGTCTGAGCTGCTACAGAGTCACGTCAGGAGTGAAGTGACCGTGTTGACGGTTGTTTTTCAGGTGGCTCAGCTGTTCACTGACAACTTCGACTACCAGACGAGGAACGACTTTGTTCGGGGCATTCTCGTCAACGAGGAGGTCAGCACGTCAACACCCGTCCTGTTACGCTCTCCTGGTTTCACCTCAGAGCTTCTGTTCCACCTTAAATGGTGCAGTCCTTACATTATTGCACCTGCACCGTTTAAGGTGGAACAGAAAATTCAAAAATTCGTGTAAGGACTTTTGTTCGATGATGTTGGGTTTAATCGTCCGGTTCAGTCCAAAAGCTTTTCTTGCTGCTCTGGAATATCAGCCAGCTGCTCTCCACACTTCTGAGGATAATTGAAACACCCAGTAATTGGACGTATAATAATTGGACGACCAGGCCACACAGAGCAGAGAGGAACGTATTTAAACTGCACCTTATACACTTATACAGAGTATAAAACAAGCTCAGATGTAAAGTGGTTTTTGAGCGACTCAAAAAACCTGGTTATATAGAATCTAAAACATGGTCCCGTTCCCCCCCCCCACCACTGACAGGTTTGCAGCTATTTTTAAGACAGTAAAGTTATCAAGACAGTATTTGCTCTTCAGCACGACTCAGCAATGTTCAAACGGCCTCAGCAACTTGCTCAGGGTTGTCAGGTTGGGCAAGATCCCCCAAAATAACATTTGCTACTTTCTATGACAGTAATTATACATCAGTGATTTTTTTTAGCAATTTTATTTTTTAATTTTAAGCATAATATATTTACTAATTAACCTACAATAAAATTGCTAAAAAAAAATTTAATAACAAATAAAATTTCTTTTTCATTTAACCATTACAGCGAAACACACAGCTTTCATTATTCTTATAGAATATCTGAGACAATATTTGGTAGAATATTTAAAATATTGGCATATATATTTGACAGTTGAAGCTGTAGGTAATTGTGTGAATTTGATTTTGATTTTTTTCCAAGCGATAGGCTTCAAAAGCCGTCCCGCTGTAACTGTTCCTTGTCTTCCTGCCAGATTTTGGGGAATCAGATCCACATGTACGTGAGTAAGGACGGCTACGGGGCGCGCGTCTCCAACCTGCTGATGTACGACTCGGTGTCATCAGACCTCATCCGCCGCTGGGTCTACCCCATCACGCCGGAGGCCAACTTCTCAGACGCCAAGGGGCGGAGCTGCACGCACTCCCGCCACAACGTGTACCGTGAGCCGGGCGTCAGCCTGGGACACGGCAGCCTGATGGAGGAGAATGTGCTGATTGGCCGAAACACCGTGATCGGGGCCAACTGCAGCATATCCAACACCGTCATCGGGGCCAACTGTGTCATCGGTACCACCTCCTTCTGAATTACACTGTAATATACTGTCTTTTTCTTGGCGCTCACTCTGATTGGCTCTTCTCTCTCCGTTTCCTAGGGGACGGAGTGGTGTTGGACCGGGCGTATATATGGAACAACGTCCGCATCGGCAACGGCGTGACGGTCTGTCAGTCGCTGATCTGTGATGGTGTGGAGGTGAAAGACGGCGTCACGCTGAACGAACAGTGTGTGCTCGCTTACGATGTAAGAACCTTTCAGTGTGAGACCCTTGCAGTGTGAGACCCTTTCACTGTAAGAACCTTTCAGTGTGAGACTCTTTCACTGTAAGAACCTTTCAGTGTAAGAACCTTTCAGTGTGAGACTCTTTCACTGTAATATCCTTTCACTGTAAGAACCTTTCAGTGTGAGACCCTTTCACTGTAAGAACCTTTCACTGTAAGAACCTTTCAGTGTGAGACTCTTTCACTGTAAGAACCTTTCAGTGTGAGACCCTTTCACTGTAAGAACCTTTCAGTGTAAGAACCTTTCAGTGTGAGACCCTTTCACTGTAAGAACCTTTCAGTGTGAGACTCTTTCACTGTAATATCCTTTTACTGTAAGAACCTTTCAGTGTGAGACCCTTTCACTGTAGTACCCTTTCAGTGTGAGACCCTTTCACTGTAATACACTTTCAGTGTGAGACCTTTTCACTGTAATACCCTTTCAGTGTGAGACCCTTTCATTGTAAGAACATTTCACTGTGAGACTCTTTCACTGTAAGAACCTTTCAGTGTGAGACCCTTTCACTGTAAGAACCTTTCAGTGTGAGACCCTTTCACTGTAAGAACCTTTCAGTGTGAGACCCTTTCACTGTAAGAACCTTTCAGTGTGAGACCCTTTCACTGTAAGAACCTTTCAGTGTGAGAACCTTTGAACAGGAAAACAGTTATGGGTGTTGATACTTGTAGTTCGGTTCTGTCGGTCTGGATCAAAGCAGAAAATAATGTTGTTGGGTTTTAGTCCTGGTTCACTCAGAGTTCACACCAACATATTTAACATCAGACCAAACAGAGATCAGTAACAGTTCGACTGACTGGGCAGATTTAATGACGTACAGTAACTGTGTTAATGTCCACTGAACTGTGTGAATCACATTGTTTTCTATTCTGTCTGGGCTTGTTGGATTTGTTTATGTCTTGTGATATTACGAAACTCCCTCCGTTACCGCGGTTACGATGCAGAGCAGGTGAAATCCCTGTAACAGCCTCATGTGTCTCACTGATTCACAGAACAGAGAACCTCGGCATGTTAACACAGAATATAGTTTATGTGGGAAGCCCGATGTGTTTATGGAGTATTTTATAACGATTTACATTTAAATTTACAGCATTTAGCAGACGCTCTTATCCAGAGCTACTTTGTTGTCCTCTCAGAGAAAATACACCGATCAGGCATAACATCATGACCACCTCCTTGTTTCTACGCTCATTGTCCATTTTATCAGCTCCACTTACTGTATAGGTGCACTTTGTAGTTCTACAGTTACAGACTGTAGTCCATCTGTTTCTCTGATACTTTGTTAGCCCCCTTTTACCCTCTTCTTCAGTGGTCTGGACCCCCATGGACCCTCACAGAGCAGGTACTGTTTGGGTGGTGGGTCATTCTCAGCACTGCAGTAACACTGACGTGGTGGTGGTGTTAGTGTGTGTTGTGCTGGTCTGAGTGGATCAGACACAGCAGTGCTGCTGGAGTTTTTAAACACTGTGTCCACTCACTGTCCACTCTATTAGACACTCCTACCTTATCAGTCCACCTTGTAGATGTAAAGTCAGAGACGATAGCTCATCTGCTGCTGCACAGTTTGTGTTGGTCATCCTCGAGTCCTTCATCAGTGGTCACAGGACGCTGCCCACAGGACGCTTTTGGCTGGATGTTTTTGGTTGGTGGACTATTCTCAGTCCAGCAGTAACGTGACATATTTTGAGAAAAATACATAAAATGTGCTGCAACGTTTTTTTCCTTAATGTGTTAAATTCAGTTAAACAGAAATAGTGCATTAAAATGAATTAAGAATAAACAATGTGTTCGCTGTAGAGGAGATATCAGCTTATTTTACATTTATTAAATCAACAACATGGAACTTGACCATGCAGCTGTTTATACAACTGTTTGCATGCAACTGTTTATACAGTAAATATGTTTGATACTGTGGCCACAGATTCTTAAATATGGCCACAAGGTTCAGGTGGCCAGTAGTGTTTTTATGTGGTAAAATATTAAAAATAACAAATACTATTTGAATTATTGTGTATTGCCCAAACTTTTGCATACCACTGTACTTATTCTTCAAGTGTGGATGCAAAGCAAACAACTAGTAGTTATGATTTGGTGACTGTTTTGGCTTCGGTTCTGTTTTTGAGAACCATCAATGCGGGTCATGTACAGGTTTAAGCGTAAGATTAAGCCTAAACCTAAACTAAAACATATTTACAATAGTGATCGATTCAGTAGTGAAATATAAACAGAATTAATCAGTGTTTTGGTGTGAAATGATTCATTGTAGAGTAACAGAACAGCCTGTGAGGGAGAGAGAGAGGCTGGAAAATGACCATGTAAATATCAATGGTGACCCAAAACTACACAGACATTGACTTCAGAGGAGATACAATAACAAATACAGGAAATGATCCTTTAGAATGTGTTAGTAAGTCCAGGTGGTCTAATCCTGACTCCACCTCGTCTGCAGGTTGTGGTGGGACCCAATATTTCTCTCCCGGAGGGCACCGTGGTGTCCATGCACCACCCGGACGAGGAAGACGAGGCGGATGACGATGAGTTTTTGAGTGACGATAACGATGTTTCGCTGAATAAAGACAAGACCAAACAGAAAGGTAATCACACCACCGCTGAACCAGAGCACTCACTGCAGCCTTTAATAGACATGAAAAAATTGATAAATCATCAGTAAAAACATATATATATATTGATATATCTTGATATTTTGGTATTTCATTTAGCGTTCAGCCCGGCGGAGGTGGGCTCTGAGGGGCGGGGCTACCTGTGGAAAACCAGCAGTCTGGATGACACAGAGGATGATGTGTTAGCACAGTGCATCTGGGGTAAGACACGTACACTGGGGCTGGTTGTCTCAGCTGTACAAGTTTAAACAAGGTTGAAGCACATATACAAACATCAGGACAGTGTTTTAATTCACCTGTCACACCTGGGTCAGCTTAATTAGGAAGGGCTTAATAATTAAGTCATGACCTTAAACAGGTATGTATCCAATTTGAATCAGTTATGAATTAGGTATGAATTCAGTATCAGTCAGTTGTTAAATGGATATGTATCCGGTATAATTCAGCTATATATCGGCTACCTGTGGTGTATAAATCAGTTATTAATTTGGTATGTATCCAGTATTAGTCTGGTATATATCTGGTATGAATCATTTATTAATCAGATGTGTATCCTTTATGGATGAGTTATGAATCAGTTATCTATAAAGCATGAATCAGCTATTAATTAGGAAGGTATCCAGTATTGATCTGCTATAGATTCAATATGAATCAAGTGTCTATCCACTATGAATGCTATGAATCAGTTATCTATGAGGTGTGAATCAGTTATGAATCAGGTGTGTATTCACTGTATATCTGTTATAAATCAGTTGTCTATGAAACGTGAATCAGTTATTAATTAGGAACGTATCCAGTATTAACCGGGTATTCGGTATGAATCAGGTGTATATCCACTATGAATCAGTTATGAATTGCGTATCTATGAGGTATGAATCAGTTATTAATTTGGTGTGTATCCAGTATAAATCAGTCATATATCTGGTATGAATCGTTAATGAATCAAGTGTGTATCCTTTGTGAATCAGTTTACAATGAGTCAGTTATTAATTAGGAATATATCCCGTATTAATCAGGTATATGTTCGGTACGAATCAGGTGTATATCCACTATATATTAGTTATGAATCAGTTACCTGTGGTGTATGAATCAGTTATCAATTGGGTATGTATCCAGTATGAATCAGGCATATATCTGATATGAATCGTTTATGAATCAGGTGTGTATCCATTATGGATCAGTGACGAATCAGTTAAGGCCATGAAGGACAAGTTATTAATTTTTCAGTGTCTGAAATCAACACAAAACATCTGTTTAATGGAAAATTATGCAAAAGCCTCAACAACAAAATCAAATGTATATGCTTTTCCACCGTTTACAGGCTTTAACTTCTGTTCGGCGCTGCTGCCATGGTAACGCTGAATGATGGCGCATGCACAGTGGAAAAAAACACATGAATGCCGATCTGAGCGTCAGATTAAGGTCACATGGCCACAAATTGGATACGAATCCGATCTAGGGCCACATATGAAAGTGACTCAGTTCGGATATGAAAAGATTAGATTTGTGTCCACACAGCTCTGAAAACATCAGATCTGAGTCACATCAGGGCAAAAAATCAGATTTGTACCACTTCAACCTGGTAATGTGAGCGTAGCCTAACATTCACACAAACAACCCAAACTCACCTGAGCTGCCTCACATCTCTTTCTCATGAGTGTCTAAAGGGACTAAAGGAGATATTAGTGAGGAGATTAGATATAAGATATTACACTTATAATGAAGGAGAAAGATTTAAGCAAAATAGGTGAAAAAACTCCTTAAAAGCTACAGAGAAAAATGTGGCTCCTAACAACCACCTGGAAGAGCTGGTAGACAACAAAACTGCCCCCATCAGATAAAACAGCACTTAAAGCTCTCATCTTTGAGAGAGAGGAGAAAATCAGGCCCCACTCTTGATTCATAACTGATTCAGATATTTATCAGATTCATACTGGATGAACACCCAACACATACATACCTGTTTAAGGCCTTGAGTTAATTGTTAAGCTTGTTTTGTTGCTGCTGTGTTTTCAGGTCTGGTGCTGAAACCTGACACTGACAGTGAGACCGAGAGCGAGGCCAGCGAAGGGTCACAAGATGCCGGGAGCCGCCCGGTGTCGCCCGAACTGGACGACGTCCGAGGTACAGAAACGTCTGAAGTCCCGTTGTAGCTAGATTAGTTAGAAGGTCCTGGTGTTTAGGTCACTATCACCAAGACTGATGTGTGTAGTCTTGTGTAGGAGTGAAAGGTTAATCGATTTATATCGAAATCACAATTTTCAAATCGCAAGAGCTGCCGTTTTTTTTAAATTATAGCCTCTTAAAAAATATAGTTCTTCAAGGTTCTTTAAAAAAATGGTTCTTTAGTAACAATCTGCGGCCTTTCTACATAGAACAATGAATACTCAGACCCATTTACATGCTTGAAGGGTTCTTTGCTTGGTAAACCGGTTCTTCAGATTGGAGAATGTGTTGATTATGGTTCTATACAGAGCCAAAAGCTTGTTACAATGGAAGACCATTTTGGTCCTTTAGAGAACTTTTTTTGCAAAAAGGTTCTATATAGAACCATATACAACACGTTCTCCATCAATCTGAAGAACCATTTCACCATGTAGAAAACTTATGCATGCAAATGGGTCGTTGTGTGTTTATGGTTCTATACAGAATCACCGTCTTTACTAAAGAACCTTTGAAGAACCATCTTTTTTAAGTATGTGCAGTAGCAAAAACACTGTTTTAAGCTTTAAGTGTGGAAATTGAGTCTAGTAATCAGGTACTATGTATCATGGGTACTATGTACTATGTACCATGATTAGGAGTCGAGCCTCAAGCCAGAGAATGCGGATATTCTGGTATTCTTGGCCAAAATAAATCAGGGCTGAATCTCAATTTATAAATCATATTTTAAATATCGTTCTCAATATTAGTCGGGAAAAATCACAATCACAAAAAACTAAAAATCAACAAAAATGGGGATGCGTATTTTTCTTTGGACAGTGACTATATAGGAAATTAATAGATACTATATTTGTGAAATGATGAACATTTATACACTAATGTTAACGTCTGAGCAATAAAAATTATAGTAAGTGAAACAAAGAAAACACAGATATATAGACACCAACACACAAGGAAAACAACTATAGTACAGATATTAAAGGGTATTTTATACATCTTTTGTACATTTCTCGTCCACTGGCTTGATAAGGTTGATAAGGACTGACTGTTTGCCCCTGCTGGTCCATCTTAAAACCACCCAGATTACTGTCCTGCATACAAGCTCTAACCAGTTTTTAATCTCCTCAAACAGATTTTAAATTTACACAGACTTTTAATATAAATATTACAAACAACCAAGAGAAAAAAAGGCTGGATATAAAATGATTTTATAGAAAACGTTGCTGACGCTGAGCTGGATTAAAATTATTTACTAAACTAATACTGATGTACCTAAATTATACTAAGTATAACTAAATAAAAGAAGGAAGGAAAAATCAGTAAATTGGACTGTGAGGGGAAAATGAGTGAATTTTGTCTAATACTCTGCTTAAACAGCTTTGCCGACAGTGGCCCACTATCCTCATGCTATCAGAGATTTTAAAGAACCCTTTTTTGCCACATGTGAAGCCTGTTCTGTATTCATTGCCACTAAATCTTGAAAATTGACTTCTAAGTAAGAAATTTAGGAGGATGAAGATTGACGAGTTGAATATGGATGAACCTCTGTGAAAAGCTGTGAAATAATTCTTAACCTGCTCTGGAATATTCCCATCAACGGGAATGTATCTTATAAATAAAAACACCTATGAGAAATATTAATATCATAAATAGTAAGAATAATAATAAATAATAAGCAGATGATATAGATAAGCTGCCAGATCTACTTTGGCAGATTAAATTTCTGGTAATACAAATATAATTGAAACAGTATCTCAGGGTTTCTTTACTGTACTTCTTCTTGTCTGTGTGAAGCTGTTGTGTTAAAGCAGTAGAACACCGGAGGTGCTGCGTTATGGTTAGGAACACTAATCCAGCTCCAGTAGGGCTTTCCCTCACCTTTAAAGGGTAAAAATGGGCAGATCTTCACTGTGTGTCACAGTGAGACCGCAGGCTGAGCTCTAACCTTCTGATCTCCACCGCCTCAGTGTTTCAGAACGAGGTGCTGGGCACTTTGCAGAGGGGCCTGGAGGAAAACATCGGCTGTGATAATCTGGTCCTGGAGATTAACTCACTGAAGTACGTCAGAGCTCCACCTCTCACATCACTGCTACACATATACAGACTGTACCTGCGTTCACTTAAACTAAATCGGGTATTAACCCTTAAAAATCACACTCAGCAAAGCGTTTCTCACTCTTAGCTCACGAGAAAAACGAGAAAAAGTATAGCTTTTAAACTTTCATTCGTGTTTACAAGTAGAAAAGTAGATATTTTGAAGATTTTAACTGGATGAACAGCTATTGTAAAAACATCTTTCACATTTTTGCTGCTTTTGTCCCATTTTGACTTCAAAACAAGCAGAAAAAGTCTAGACTCTAACATGCCCATACGGAATATAAAGTAAATATAAATGCAGTTTACTTTATAACGATATTGTTTATTATGTAAATATATTACATATAAATAACGGTATAAATGTGAACATATAGCAGTATAAATAGCCGTAGACGTCTAAGGGTTAGCAGGGGTGATCCTGTCTGTGCTCTGAGCAGCCGCAACAGTAGCAGTGGTGTAATGTGGGCTCTTTGCTGGCAGGTACGCCTACAACATCTCGCTGAAGGAGGTCATGCAGGTGCTCACCAGAGTGGTGCTGGAGTTTCCCTTCCAGCAGCAAGGAGCTCAGATCAGCCCGGCGCAGTACTCCACCCTGCTGCTGCCTGTGAGTGCATGGCTTCTGCTGCTGAATCACTCTTTTTGTTCACTGGTAGTTAATTGAACTGCTGTTATAGTTAAATTTTCATTAGTTTTTGTTTTAGTCTGAAGTCCAAGTGAGTTAAAAGTCCAGAATATGAGTCTGACTTTGAACCTATTTTGTAGAATGTGTAGTTACACAATACATCAATTCTGTCTCTATGTTGGTTGATGTTGTGGATCAATTATGTTGTTAAATTTGAAATAGCATTCAGTTATGTCATGAAATTAAAGCGGTGGTGATGTCTGTGAAATAGGGTGACCTCAGGTATACAGAGAGGGTTTTGGGAGAAAAACATAAACACAATATAGTTTTCTTTGCTGCTGTTAATGCTGAAGAAAGAACTCTGCTTTGGGACGAATGTGGAGTCATCTGAGCAAAATCTAGTGTAAACTGGTCAACGACTCAATCTGACAGATTCCTGCAACAGCCAATGAAAACTGAGAGCGTGAAAGAAGAAAATACAGCAAGTAAACAAAGAAAAATGGTGGAAAGTCTCTCGCATGTGGAGCTGAATTTGAGGCACAATCGAGTTTATGTAGATTTAAAACTCTAATAAATACCTCACTGATCACATTTTTAAATCCATGATTGTCATTTAAACGTTTTCCTGCGGCTTCTTTACTGTTTCAGCGCAAAACAGCTGCAGCAGCTCACATTTGTTTATTTGCATCTCCGAGTAACAGGAGAACGCGAGAGCTCTCGTGAGTTCTCATGAATTCAGTATGTTCGGTTCAGCAACAGCTGAAAAGTTGAGTAGTGTGTGATCCTTAATCGTTTAGTGTGGATCCCCAATATTTCAGTCACCCAAAAAAATCTGCAAAAGCCAGTCTGACTGTGTGAGACGCCCACTCTTTTATAATCTGTTACGAGTGCCTTGCTGCTGTAGCACTGTGAATTCCCCCGTTATGGTACTAATAAAGGATCTCATCTTAAATTTTAGTCCAGAAACAAACGCAGTCTCGAACCAGAGTCCAACAAAATTCTGTCCAAACTAAAAAAAAATACCAACCAACCACTAAGAATTTTGTAAAGCACCACGTCTGGCACTATTATACTTGTATTACTGAAAACTTGGTAAGTTTGAGGTTAAGAAGTTGGACAGTTGCCAGCTGACAGCCATATCGGTCAGTTTAACTAAAACTACTGTAGTGTTTAATGTCTGAATATTAAATAACACGTATCTGAGAGAATTTCAGTCTCAGCTCTGTTGACAGGTTTCATGTTGGCCTCCCACTCTGTCCACTGTCCACCGTCCAGTTTGAGCCTCTAATGACCGAGTTTCTCTGTGTTCTCTGTGCAGCTGCTGAAGAAGTGGGCTCCTGTCTTTAAGAACTACGTGAAGCGTGAGCAGGACCACATGGACTGCCTCGCCTCTCTGGAGGAGGTGTTCCTGGAGCACGACTCGCAGTGGCCTGCGCTGGTCAAGGTCAGTTCTACTCTAAACCAGGGCTGCTCTAAATGAGGCAGAGCTGGCCTGCCAGAAAGTTAGAGCAGATGTGTCAAACTGAACCACTAAAAGGGCCACATTAAAAAAATCTCAACAAATCCGTGGGTCAGAAGATCTTTTATTTTTAAATAACGTTTTGCTAAAAGCCGAAAAGTCGCCAAAACATCATCAAAGTTTACATTTACATTTATGTCATTTGGGAGACGGTCTTATTCAGAGTGACTCACAGTTAGATCACTTTACACAGGTAGGTGAAGGCAGTGTTAGGAGTCTTGCCCAAGGACTCTTATAAGTATAGGGTGCTTACTAGATGGGGGATTGAACCCCAGTCTACAGTGTAGAAGGCAGAGGTGTTACCAACTACACTATACTTAATATATAAAATAAATGCACTAGGAGTAAACCTTGATGTGTGTATGTGTGTATATACACCGATCAGGCATAACATTCTGACCACCTCCTTGTTTCTACGCTCATTGTCCATTTTATCAGCTCCACTTACTATATAGGTGCACTTTGTAGTTCTACAGTTACAGACTGTAGTCCATCTGTTTCTCTGATACTTTGTTAGCCCCCTTTTACCCTGTTCTTCAGTGGTCATAATGTTATGCCTGATCGTTGCCTGAGTGTTTTTCATGTTTATGTTGGCTGAACTGCAGCTGAAATGCAGCTAATGTGTTTGGTGACAGGTGCTGATGACCGTGTACGAGCTGGACATCCTGGAGGAGGACACAATCATGCGCTGGTTCTCTCAGAAGGTCACCACAGAAAAGAGCCGGCAGCTGCGCAAGAACCAAGGGGGTGAGTACGGGTGGGGGTCAAGGCTCAAATGTGATATATAACTCATCATCATCATCATCATTAACCGCTTAATCCAGATAGTCATGTATCACTACCGTGACCCTATGTATCTATAATAACTATACAACTATATATTTTCAGTTTTGAATATTCTATCAGATATAATCTCTCATATCCTAAAAGACTACGGAAAGTGCAAGAATAGGCCTATATCAGAAATGTGTGTGTATGTATATATATATATATATAATGTATATGTGTGTGTGTGTGTGTGTGTGTGTGTGTTATAGATAGATGAGTAAAGAGTGCCAAGAATTGTGGAGGAAATTGTATTTACTTGATATGGTGCTTACATAAGTTTTTTTTCTACATATTATATCCTAGTTTCTTTGCATCTAGCAAAAAAAAGTTTACAGTTCTTATACAGTAGTGTGCGAAAGTTTGTGCGCCCTGTCAAATTCCATGTTGTTGATTTTCTAAGACTGAATAAGTGAACACATCCTCTACAGAGAGCATGCTTTACAGTTACTGTTTATATGCTGAATTTTACATATTTCCTGGAAAAAATAAACATAAAATGTGCCATAACCTTCGCTCCGGCCACATTGTATGTTTAATGTATTATTTTTTCCAATATGTTAAACAAATAAATAGAAATTGTGTATTGAAATGTGCAGACGTGTGTTCACTGTTGAGAATGTGTTCACTTACTTACCCTTGGCTTTGTTTACACAGCAGGTAAAAGTGGCCCAAATCTGATCTTTTTCTCCGTATGTGGCACAGATGTGTCTGTGTGTCAGTGTGAACAGATAAACACACTGAATCTGACATTTTCAATTCTGATACGTATCCGATCTGCGGCAATGCAACTCAGTCTGAACAGCCAGACTGGAATCCATGCAGTCCAGACTCATCTAAAACCCTCCGTGTTTAAAGAGATTTCTAAAGAAATGTCCGATCGCGGCCGCAGGAGAACGAGGCTGCAGCATCAAAGAACAGTTAAAAGTCTGAAAGCGAAGCTTAAAGAATCTGAGGACGCGAACCAAAGAAGTGACCGTGCCCTTTTTACGGCTCCAACACATTCTGGGTGATGAGCCCAGCTGTCAGTCAGTGAAGCTTCATGATGGCTCGTTAACCGTTTTTATAGTTAATGATTTTCTGAGTGTCATTTGTTTTCTGCTGTTCGCAGCTGCTGAAGTTCATCCAGTGGCTGCAGGAGGCTGAGGAGTCTTCAGGTGGAGACGAGTGAAGGTCAGCAGGGACGTGGTCACCAGGGCTTTATGCTTTCAGACACAGCTACACTAAACACAGCAGACCTGCCCATCTCGTCGGACCACCGCTGCACCAGCCGAGCCCGTTCCAGCCCACAGCTCAGACCTGGCTGGTTCTTTCACATCATCACAACACGGATCATCTTCAGATGGTTATGTTTAAACACTGTAGCAGTGAGTGTGACTCTGCTGTGTCTGTCTGCTGGTCATCTTCCCTTGGGAGACGCCACTGACCCTCTGACCTTACGGTGATGGACCTGTTTGGACATTTTTTTTATTTTGTTTTTCAGGCTCCATTTGAGAGTCGCGCTGTGGAGCGACTCGGCTTTGCTGAGTTTCTGCTGTGTGAAAAAGGATTGGTTGGTCATGCATTTTTGCTCGATGGCTGTAAAACATATTTAAAGGCTGAAATGAAACACTGAGAGACCCTGTTTGTTGTTTCTGAGGTCACCGGCAGGTCATGTGCTTTCAGCACTGCTCTAAAAGCTACAGCGCTACAGTCATTAATTCGCTTTTTCTATACCGACTCGGCGTTTATGCAGTAAGAGTGTGCATTATGACCAATTTTCATATTCAGGTATCTGTGGGAGTTGATGAAGAGATATCCAGGTAATCATAGGGAAGAAAAAAAATGAACAAAAAGAGGAAAAATTAACAATAAAAAGGGGCCACAAGGGCCAAAAGTACACTAGTGAAAAATGGTTCTATATAGAACCATGAACACTCAAAGAACTCTTTGCATGATTAAAGCCTTTGCATGATTACTGTTACAATGTCAAGCTTATATACAATAGAAGAAACATTTTTTGTGCTACATAGAACCCTTTTCAAAAAAAGTTCTACATAGTACCGTATACAGCACATTCTCCATCAATCTGAAGAACCATTTCACCATGCAGAGAACCCTTTAATCATGCAAATCATGCAGACCCCTTGAAGAACCATATTTTTTAGGAGTGTAGTGTAGAGCTTAATTTTTCAGTGATAGCAGGTGGAGGTGAAAAATTTAAAAACATTTTATTATTCAAAAATAGCTGAAGTTTTGTGTTGGATGAGTAGCAGAAACTGCCCTTTCAATGAGCTGATGAGCTAAAGAGCTCACACTGAGTGAGACACATTTTCTACTTGAGGTCAGAGAACTATATTTTGTTTCTGGACTGAGCTAAAACTAGCTAGAGTAGTTAAACTAGTTAGTGTGATAAAGTGATAAATATCTGTCTTTTCAGTCACATCTTCAAAAACGTGTCCTTGGCAACCATCACGATGAGGTACGTGTTTAGTAGTAGTAGTAAAGTGTAATAAACTCACTCAGAAAAGGATAAAAACTCAAATTTAAACACACAAACACACATTAACTAAGCTGCTTATCTTTCTTGGTCGTGGGGGGGTGCTGGAGCCTATCCCAGCAGTCATTGGGTGGAAGGCAGGATACATCCTGGACAGGTCGCTAGTCCAGGACAGACACGCACACACACACACACACCTAGGGGCAGTTCAGCATCTCCAGTCGGCCTGACCGCGTGTCTTCAGACTGTGGGAGGAAACCCACACAGACACGGGGAGAACATGCAGACTCCACACAGAGAGGACTCTGGTCACCCGGCAGGAGAATCGAACCCAGACCCTTCTTGCTGTGAGGTGACAATGCAGCACCATCGACGCTCCCAAATTTTTACAGCCAAGAAAACAAGCAAAAGCAAGAAAATTCGAGGTTTGTTACTTTTCTGAGTATATTACAGTTTTTTGTTGCTAAACACACATACCTGGATGTGATGGTTGCCAAGGATGCATTTTTAAACAAAAATCAGCGTTTCACTGAACCGTCAGTCTGTTTATTTTCTTCACTGAATGGTAATTTTAATACTTGAATACTGAGTGGTTGGTTTACTCAGTACTCCAGTACCTGTGCAGATCCCTATCATTCGTTCCAGCTTATTATGTAAATTTGACTGAAAATTATATAACAGTTCCGGCCATGCAAGCTGATTGGTTGAGAAGCGTTCTAACTGTGCTGTTATTTCACCATAACATCACAGGTTTTTTCGCAAACATTGTATAACTCCGCTGAGATGCCGTTGCTAAGCAACGACTTTGACAGCTGTTGGAGACGCTCAAGACATTTGAATGTTTTTACTTCTTACTTTGCCACAAACAGAAAATGGACACTTTTAAGATCACATTTGACTGACAGTTGATTTGGTCAGACTCTGAAGATGAGGCTACACTAAATTCCCAAACTGTCATCACCACTGAGCAGTTTTTCAGTCGGCAGCTGTGACAGAAGAGCAGCTAAACAGCCTGGAATCAGCCAGAAATGAACCCAATACCATTCGCCAAACTAAATGGGCTGTAAGATGCTTTACAGACTGGCTGGAACAAAACAACATTAATACTGATCTGGCAAAAACTGACAAAACTGAGCTGAACTTGATATTGCGGCAGTTTTATGGCTCAGTCCGATTTGGTCAGACTCTGTAGATCAGACTACGCTACATTCCCAAACTGTCAGTTGGTCTGTGTGGAGCTGGAGAACAAACTGCTGGCTGTGCAGCGAGTGGGCGGAGCTCGTTACTCTGACGTAGCAACAAGCTGCTTGTTAAGGAACTATAATTTGGTGAAGGAACTGCGAACATTAAAACATATGAAACGCCGCGTTCACGGCCCAGTTTATTAATTTATTACTTTATTTATTTAACTGTTGTATAAAAGCAATAGAACACTCGAGGAGTGTGTTATCACCAATAACATCATTATTTCGCGATAACACTCCCTCTCAGGTTCTATTGCTTAATTATAACACAGGAAAAAGGGATAAAAAGCTTCTAATGTTACAAAACAGACAAGAAAACTGTGAATAAATCCAGTTTTATTTTATGTCAGCATACATACAAAAATGAGGTAATACAATTAATGATTAAAATCCCTTTATGATAAATCAAATATATTTGCCATCAACCCTTTTTAGATCAATATTTACCCTACAGCGGCTGTACTTACCCACCAGCACGAAACAGACGTCCCATTTCGATGGAAAACGACAGCCTTTTAAATTCCTTTGTTGATTCATGATTAAATATCTATCAGATGATTTTAGCTTGATCATCTGCCTCCCAGCAGGCTGAGTGACTGAGCTCCAATCAGGGAGCTCACAGTTTAACTGGAATGGAAGTGAACCCAGTGCGTTAAGGTGGGCGATATGACGCTGCAGTACTGAGTCATTTATGATGCGCATCATGATGTTTAGTTTTCTGAGGTCTGTGAATACACAACTCATCCAGGCTCCGTTTATATTGGTCTGGTCAGCGACGGATGTGAACACTTCAGCTGACTGCAGTATCACAGATGCACTTGCTAACATAAGAAGGATTGTAGCAGAGCCGGTTCATGAGGTCTGGCCACTTCCTATTTCCCTCGTTATGTCACAAACATGACTGCTAAACGCCAGAGGGCGCCCACGAGCGAGTCCTCAATGAATGGGGGTAAATGGAGCTTAATGGCTAAAAACGAAATGTTGAAATAGTTTCTAATCACTCGCCCAGAACTTTCCTTTAATTTTAGAGAGTAGAAGGACGAGTTTCACTAAAAAAAATCAAAGAAAACTACCTGTATGTGTTTTTTTCTACAGCAAACGGGTTTTGGGCAGCAGGACACTAACATTACTGCTACTGAGTGCTGATTGGTTGGCATTACTGCTACTGAATGCTACTGTGTTAGCATTACTGCTACTGAGCACTAAATGGTTAGCATTACTACTACTGAGTGCTGCTTGATTGGCATTACTGCTACTGAGTGCTGCTTGATTGGCATTACTGCTACTGAGTGCTGATTGGTTGGCGAGTGAAGGAGGTCATTGTTCTAATCTTAACCCATTCATTTTGGACTCGCTCAGGGGCGCTTTCTGGTTGTAGGGCATGTGAAGCATTCAGTTATCAAGTCTACATGCATCAAGGGGCCGTATTACAGAAATTCCTCTCTTTTTGTCTTAACTTAAGATCTGACAGGTCAAGATAAGATTTTTCATATTTCAAATTCATATTACAGAAGCAAAACTGATCTAAATTTAGGAATCTTACAGCATCTTTCAGCCCCCCTGCTTTTTATCAGTTTCAGTTTCCATTTCCCAAACGCTTTAGCCAAGCGCGTTAACGTTACTCCTCCTAATAAACAGACACACGTTCAGCTCTGTCTCCTCATTATTCACCACCATCACTGTAATATTTCATCATCAACATTAACACACGAAGGTGATCAGAGGGGCGGTGGAGATCGAGTCTGCAGCGTCTGAGATCTTTAAAACGCAGAGTTAGAAAAGAAAATCATCTCACAGTGAAAGCAGCGTTTTACAGTAGAAATAAATGGAGCTCATTATGCTGGTAGTGAACTATGCTGCTGACACAGCTGCCTAAAAACCATAGAAACGGACCTTAAACAGAAGTGAGGACCCTGTTGGGGTTCATCCTAAAGTTAGGACAGGATTTAGGAGGTTTAGTCTAGTTAGGATGTTTGTGTGATACTGTTTTCTTATCTGGAGTTGATGATGAGATTATGAAGGTAGGAACTGTTATTCTGTAACAGCTACTGTCCGAAATTCAGTCTGTACTGAAGTCGTCATAAAGACTAAACACATTTCACATGGAGACTAAACACTAATCACTCATTCTAAACAGATTTCAGAGTTAAGAAGTTTCTGTAATACGACCCCAGGAGGATATCCAGATTTAATTTAAAATACCACCCAAATATTTCATATAGATATATTTTTGTTTAATATATGAGAACACAAATGATTATTTGCCTAAATTGGACAGGTTTTATTATATAACTGATGTGCACTGGTGCAGCTGTATGATCTACTAAAATAAAATTAATTGATCAGACTCTGTATTAGTACTCTATATTAAATAACTCAGACCAGGATCGGGACCATACCCATCATATACTCAGTAGAGTTGCGTATTGTAATATTTATCATGATAATATCGTCATATCGCCCACCCCAACGTCCCCCCACAGCACTAATTCCAGAACATTCCTCAGTTATATAGAAAGCTGCTATCTTTTCTGACTGTCCTTACTAAGCGTGCTGTAGATGAACGCGGCAAGCAGTGTGGACCCAGTGATCCCGAACAGCGCCGTCAGCCCCTTCCACATTCCGGCCGTGTTCTCGTGTCTCTGGATGAAGCTCCGGTGGTCTCCGGGGAGGAGGATGTAGGCGCGTCCGTCCCGCGGCGGCTGGAGCCTCATCACTCCCCCGTGCTCTAGGACCACCTCCCCGAAACCCGTCAGAACCGTCCCCACACGGAGGACCTCCTCCCTCTCCTCCCACGCGGTCAGCTTCTCTCCAGTCACACCCTGAACCACCACGTCCAGCAGCCCATCCTCAGCCCTCCGGACACCCCTGTACACAGTTATACGTCTTATATGTTATATGTTATATGTCTGCAGTCTGATGGCTCTACATTAGGGGTGCACTGATACAGAATTTCTGGGTCAGTACGATCAATAATTAAGATCTTATTTTGGCCGATACAGATATCAGTTACCATAAATTATCTCGGTTAATGTTTTCAAGTTTTATATTATGTTTTGTAGATATTACGTCATTTTTTCAATTTATCAGCAAATAATATGTTGGATATACTGGGCTGCATAACGTCGCTGCGGGAATTAAACATCTCCAAAAAGGTAAATTTACAGGAGAAGGAAAAATGTACTTTTATGAACTTTTAATGAAAATGAATGAAGAAGTGATTTATTCCCAGCAGTTCTGGACCATTTCTGTTGGTCTGTTCATCATGAAACTGTTGACACAGTATAATATAATAGATCATCTGGGGGTTTCAAATTATGTCAAGAAATGAAAAATTAAAAAAGAAAAAAAAACCAGACCTGGATATATGAGGTTTTGTCCTGACTGACAGCGACAACAAGCATGTGTAACTGTAAGGAGCCCTGCTGGTGACATCCTGTATAAATAAAAATAATGCATGGCCAAGCTGTATGAACGAGTGGGAATGAGATCCTAATGCGTGGCCACGACTTAATTATCTCGTTTCCACACCTTACTAAGTTGTGGCCACGATTTAGTAAGGCATGGGAACAAGATAATGCCTTATTAAGCTGTGGCCAAGGCTTCATTATCTCATTCCCATGCCTTACTACGTCATGGCCACACATTAGGATGTTGTCTCCATGCCTTACTAAGCCATGACCATGCAGTATTATTATTTATACAGTATGTCACCAGCAGGGCTACGTACAATTATGTATTTATTATGCATTTAATTTCCAATGTGTTTCTGTTACTACATCCCCCAAATGCCTATCAATCATCCAGCCCACCCATCCACACACCCATCCATCAACCAACATACCCCAAATGCAGTCGCTCAGCCAAAGCTAAGGTTGGGTGATATGGGAAAACTACACAATACACATCACCATACTTCGACACACAGATGCAAATATGCCAGTAATATCACATTTAAAAACTGCTACCAAAAACTATGAATACAGTGATTATTATTCAGCTGCACTGAAAATGAAGTAAACTGGCCTCATTTCACTCTCTGTAGTGAAACACGCAGTTTTCCAGTGTTCTTTAAGTACTGATGATACGCTTGTTTCACACAATAAAAAATATCACAATAACGATAAAATATCACCGCATCGTCCACCCCCAGCAAAGACGTTTGGTGTCTGACGTTGGTTTGGCTAATATGTTGAACAAGTAATAGAAGCTTACACCCAACCAATTAGCACGATGCAAGGAACCTTTTAATCATGTAAAGTGCTCTTTAAATGTTCATGGTTCTATGTAGAACCATTTTCATTACTAAAAAACCCTTAAAGAACCATCTTTTTAAGGGTGTAGTGTAAGCAGTGTTAGCTATGCTGTGTTCTCTTGCTGGTGGGTTATGAGCTACATTAGCTCCTCAGCTCACTCACCTGTGCACCTCCTCCAGGTAATCCCCTTTCGCCTCCAGCGGGGACTCCACCTTCACGGAGATCTCGCTGAGGTACGAGCCTGGCTGGAACAGGCGGAACGGCACGCTGCTCTTCGTCTCCTTCGCGTTCATCTTTTTGGAGACCCTGTACGAGAAAACAGGTTAAAACATGTGCTTATCAAAGATTTCAGAGTAAAAACACTGATTTAAGATCAGGTTCTCATCATTCAAGTAACTTATACAGGTATTTAGCACCATCGCTGTCATATTTCAATCTGATTTGAGTTTTCATGAACATTAAAGCAAGTCTCGTACACTGTGGTCATTCAAAATGCTTTACAAACGAAGAAATATCAATTCATCAATCGGTCAACCTTTATTTTGACTCAGAAGGACACTGAGGGTGATCTACATTTACAGTGTAGGCGAGCAAGTTAAACAGGACTGAAAAATTAAAATGAAATTTCTCAACTAAAACAAATGAAACATTATGTTGTTATGTAATATAATTCAAATACAAATTAGAAAATGTGAAGGCAAATAAATTAAAAATAAAATTAAAACATGATTAAAACAATAGATTTAAAAGAGAGAAATTAAACATTAAATTAAAAATCTAATTAAAAATTAAAGCATGAACTACAGCGTTTTACAGTAGAAATAAATGGAGCTCATTATGCTGGTAGTGAACTATGCTGCCTGACTCAGCTGCCTAAAAACCATAGAAACGGGCCTTAAACAGAAGTGAGGACCCTGTTGGGGTTCATCCTAAAGTTAGGACAGGATTTAGGAGGTTTAGTCTAGTTAGATGTTTGTGTGATGTTGTTTTCTTATCTGGAGTTCATGATGAGATTATGAAGGCAGGAACTGTTATTCTGTAATAGTTACTGTCCTGAATTCAGTCCAAACTGAAGTTGCCATGGAGACTAAACAGATTTCAGACTCAGGATGTCTCTGTAATTCGACTCCTGGTCCAGACCTGAAGGTTTATGGACTGAAATAAACTAAAGCACTAACCATGTTCCGGACGCGTTCCGCACCTTCCAGTGCTCCTGGGTGGTGACCTTCTGTACGACCCCGTAGCACCGTGGAACGTATCGACTAGCCAGCGGTTCGCCGACCGGCTGGACCACACCTGCACACAGGACACAACATTTGTTCTGACCCTCGGACACTTTTATAACAACAGATCAGCAAATCTACACATTTAAGACGTGTTTGGTGTTTGAAGTTTGCCAATTTAGCTTTTGTGGTAGAGCTTCGAAGCTAATGCATGAGCCTGACCATGCTGGGTGTCCAGCATAAACCAGCTGCTGTTTTTTTCTACTGTGTTATCTATGCTAATGTTCTTTAGTCCATGTTTATAGATAACAGTGAGTCACCACAGTGATAATGTCATAACAGTGAGAAATCACATAATAAACTCTATTAGAGATACTGAACACCTCCACACAGCTTAAGGAGAAATATGAGATGATCAAAGTTTACAGTTAGCAACATGCTAATTGATGGGGTGTAAGCTTCCATTACTTGATAGCTACATTAGCATTGTAGCTCCAGTGTAAAAAAAAAAAAAAAGCAAACTTTAGATATCAAACATGTCTTTGCCTGGTCGACTCCCTGCTTAAAGGGAAATTCCCCCAATTTTTCAAAACCTCTGCATAGTTCAGTCATCAAGATCTAAACAGTCATTCTGAGTGGTTTGGCTTGAAGTGCTTCATTGTAGATGAACTTAGTGATATGGATGTCTTTCCAGGTGGTGACAGGAACCAGGAGTTGATATTTTTACAGTGCAAATATAATTATGTTAGTAACTCTCCGAAACCTCCAGTGAACTGAACCTACACATGTCTTCTGATTATTGAAATGTAACAATGATGATGGTAAAATATGATGGTAAATATGTAAATTTGGAAAAAACATGAGCTTCATTGGGAACCATATATATATTAAGCCAAAAATGGTCAAAAACTATCATAAAACAATGTCTCAGACATTAGCAGTATATTCATAGTGTGACCTGCTACTGGCTGGCGCTGGCATCTAGAACCTCCTGAGGCATAGCCGTGCTGCTGGCTGCGCTGGGTGGATCACGGGAGGTGTGCGCCATTGTGTTGTTGGTGTTGTTCAGCGCTCTGCATGTACCTTTCTGACTGGAGCACTTCTTGTGGTGGAAATTATGGCCTCCACTGTGTCTACTTTATGCAGACGCTACAACAACCATTTCTTGTAACAACTTTTACAGGCAGTAAACTCTAAAGATATTTGATTCCTATCAGAACTGCTGTGAGCAATTATGACTCGACTAAGTTTCTCTACAACACAGCATTTCACGCCAAACCACTCTGGATGACTTTGTTTACATCTCAAGGATTAAACTATGCAGAAGTTTTGAAAAATCAGTGGGATTCTCCTTTAAAGTGTATGACTGAAAGCGCTGATGATATGATACCTTCCACAGCTACATAATGCAGCCGCCTGTCCTGAGAGGCGTTGAGTATTTTTAGCAGGTGCTGATCGGCCTGAAAGCTCGGGATTTCCTAGAAAAAGACAGAAACAGCAGTTTGAACTTGAACAAATGAACAAGACTGAACAGACAAAACTGTGAAAAGAATAAAGCTTCTCATTTTAGCCCGTAGAAAAGAGGAATTATCAGAAAATAACAACAAAGAAAACAAGCAGTTTGAGGTGTATAGCTGCTTTTGCATGGGCTCCTTCTCTTCTCTGTGTTGGGTAACTTGATTCCAGATAGTTTTATCTCCGTTTATACCCGAATGAGTGGTTTGGAAATTAGCTGATGAGCTGAATCAGGTGTGTTAATCAATATGAAACAGGACTGATATTTTATATATTATGTTTTAGTATTTTTCCAATGTGTTAAACTCAACAAATAATTATAAACTGAACAGAAATTTTAATTATTTACAAGCAATTACAAGCAGGTCGTAGGAAACTATGAAAAATATTCAAAACTAAAACAGTGAAAGGTGTTCAAAATGTGGGCAGTGAGTGTTTTCTTCCCAGTAAAGTGTGTAAGATTCAGTAAAGCTATGAATATGTGGGTTAGATTAATACAGTGAGAAGATCACAGGTTTGGTTCTGATTTCTCACTGAGCTCCAGCCACCATGTGGATTTGTTCAGTTCCTTCAGCTGATTTATTATTATTTTATTGTTTAGATAAAGCAGGTTTTGGCTGGTAAGTATAATTACTGGACTTCCTCCAGGAGAAGTTCAGAAACAGTTAAACTAACACAGTAAATACAGAACGCATTACTGGGTTTCCCCAAAAGCATCTCAGCACAAAGATGATTCCTATACAGTAGAGTGAGCATCACTCTGATCCAGATGTATTACAGTTTTAAAATGTTCATTAGTTTATATTTTATTCAGTTCCAGTTAGTTTTAAGGGTGCATTAATAATTAATAGTTAAAAAGTAATAGTTTTAGTTTTGTTTTTATTTAGTTTGTTTTAGTTTTTAGTATTATGATGAAAGCTGTGATGGAACTGTGGTGAAACTGCCCATCCTGTGCATCTGACGCTTCTTCTGCCTTGATCGGGTGCCCACTGCTCGCCAGCCTGCTGGAACCGGTTTGACCACCAGGGAGCTTCTTGCTGTACAAAGCTGTGCAAACCTCACCTGCCTGAACTGACCCTCCTGATGCTGCTGCACAGACTCAAACTATTTCATGACCATTGCTTCACCTGTTTTTCCCCATTTCTGTATTCTGTAATCTTATCCTGTTCATTTTGCTCATGTTATCGTTTGGTGTTGACCAGAGGAGGATGGGTTCCCCTTTTGAGTCTTGGTTCCTCTCAGTGTTCCTCTTGCTCTTAGGTGGTTTTTCTTACCAATGTCGCCACTGGCGACGCTCATGTACCCAGATTTTTCTGTAAAGCTGCTTTGTGACAACACCTGTTGTGAAAACCGCTATATAAACAAACCTTGACTTGATTTAGAAGAGTTCCTAAACTCTCATTCACACCCCGAAAAACTTAAACTAAAGACTTTTTCTCAGTTCTGTTCAGTTTGTTAGGTTTGCAGTACAGATTATAGTTTCGATTTAGTTTTTGTTTTGGTTTTGTTTACTGTGTTACGGTTAACAAGCACACTTCCTTATTTTAGTCTTAGTTTTGGTTGACTGTAGTAACGCTGAACACTCTCGCTCCTCCAGTTAAGACGATCTTAACACTGAGATGCTTTTGGGAAACTGGGCTCTGATAAAAAACCTCACCTGCTATTTTCTGTTACCTCTACTGCTACTTCTCTCCTGTAACGGCACTTTATTATTCTACACTCTTAGCAAACATGGTTCTGTACAGTACCGAAAATGGGTTCTTTGTCTTGTAACAACAGTGGAACCGTTTTTGTGCTATATAAAACCCTTTTAAAAAAAAGGTTCTATACAGAACCATACACAGCACGTTCTCCATCAGTCTGAAGAACACATTCACAATGCAAAGAACCCTTTAATCATGCAGATTAGTTTTCTGAGGGTTCAGGGTTTAACATAGAACCATTTTCTTTACAAAGGAAACATTAAAGAACCTTTGTTAAGAGTGCAATATCATTTTTACTTGTTTTAAATTTACTGATTCTTGTCTTTTAATGTCTATCATTTTAACCATGTATTTAATTTCTTTTTCTCCTTTACTTTGTTTCTTTTTAATTAGAATTATCTTTGTATTTCATCATCAGTAAAGCACTTTGAACGACCACAGTGTACGAAAAGTGCTGTGTAAGCAAACTTGTCTTTCTCAGACAGCCTGAGACTTCAGCCCTTAAAGTATATGTGAACATGTACACCGATCAGGCATAACATTATGACCACCTCCTTGTTAGCAGCAGTGACACTGAGGTGTTTAAGAACTCCAGCAGCACTGCTGTGTCTGATCCACTCAGACCAGCGCAACACACACTAACAACACCACCACGTCAGTGTTACTGCAGTGCTGAGAATGATCCACCACCCAAATAGTACCTGCTCTGTGAGGGTCCATGGGGGTCCTGAGCACTGAAGAACAGGGTAAAAGGGGGCTAACAAAGTATCAGAGAAACAGATGGACTGCAGTCTGTAACTGTAGAACTACAAAGTGCACCTATGTAGTAAGTGGAGCTGATAAAATGGACAATGAGCACAGAAACAAGGAGGTGGTCATCATGTTATGCCTGATTGGTGTATACAGGAAGCAGGAGCACTCCCCTATCCTCACTGCTGGAGGTCAGTGTAGGCCACCTGGCTGTGTGGTTCTGAGGGTTCTGCTGTGATGAAGTTGATGCTAGTGGAGTTCTCTCACCTTCAGCTTCTGTATTTCCAGTTTCTTCTGCTGGTAGTGGCTGTAGAAGATGGAAGAGAAGGCGAAACTGGCCCCGACACCGATGAGGGTCAGGGGACTGACGAAAGAGTCGCTCATTTTCTGGGTAGAGAAGAACAGACTGGTATCAGAACCCCTTCAGAGCTCAGCCAGGAGGCCAGCAGCTCCTCCCTCACCCCACTCAGTCTCACTGAGCCATTACAGAGTCAGGAACAGCGGATTTAAACCACTTACCGTCCAGAATCTCTGAGTTTCTCTTCAGTCTCACCGGCACAGGAAAGCGAAAGTGCACAGTCCAGTTTGAGTTCTTGTTATTCTTTGAGTGAGGCAGCCAACTGTAAGGTGCATTACTGCCACCTACTGGACTGGAGGGTGGATGTAAAGGTTGGGGCTGGACAGTATGGCCACAGCAGAGTCTCAGTATGGCACTGTTTATCATTGTCCTTATGAGTTACGTCACAGTTTGTCTTTCTGAGTGGTGGATCTCATCAGTGCCTGTCCAACTACGTTTGATTACCAATAGCGTATAAATAGTCCAGTTTAACTGGGTTTAGTGGCTAAGATGGTTTATTCTGGTCTGATGCTGGTTTAGCTGGTCACCCAGTATGGTCAAGCTGGTAAGCATGCCAGCATCCAAAACATATGAGTAGTTGTCTACACAGAGAAATAAAAATAAATCTCAGATTTGGAAATAAGAGAAAATTTGAGAATTCTGAAAACAAGTAACACAAAGAAAGCTCAGGAGGACAAATCTCAGATCAAATCTGCTCATTAGAGGCTTTTTCACAAAGGTTCATTTCATTCTGTCATATAATATACAATAGTTTTTATACTGTAAGTCTACTCAGACCTGCATGTACAGCATGTACAGACAAAGCCCTTTATTATTCTTTATTCTTCTATACTGCATTATATATATATATATATATATATATATATATATATATATATATATATATATATATATATATATACACACACACACACACACACACACACTTAAATCACTTAATTAGAAATATGCCTTGGACCCTTTATAATACATGTGCATATATGGCCATATATCAGATTTCCATAACCACAAATGTAGACATTCCACATTTTTTAATCAATGTTAGCAATAGGGATGATTTTTTTATCATTATCTTTTATTGTAGGAGAATAAGAAGAAAAGAATACTGTTGAATATGAATTTTTTTCCCTATGGAAAATAAATGCATGAATATGCAGTATTTGTTCTACATCATTACTTCATTTCAAACACTAAAGTGCATTAAGCAAAAATACATTTTTATACCATTTACCATTTTTACATTTGCATTATTTATTTTCTGTGTGGATTAAAGCCAGTTACACAATAAAAATAAAAATAGATAGATAGATAGATAGCTATATAGCTATATAGATAGATAGGTAGATATATGAAGTAGTGTTCTGCTACTGTCTCCTTTATTTGTTTTGATCCAACAGTGTGTGTGTCAAATCAAATCAAATCATGTTTATTGTCACATCACATTTACACAGGTGGAAAGTGAGTGAAAATCTTAGGTGCATGACCCCCTTATAGAATTTAAATATAAAAAATATAGAAATATCTAAGAAGAAAAAGAAATATATATATATATATATATATATATATATATATATATATATATATATATATATATATATATATATATACCAACTCTGAATATACACATATACACAGTATACACTAGTGTGTGTATGTATGCATATATGAATTATATATATATATATATATATATATATATATATATATATATATATATATATGTATATAGTTAAATATTTTGTGTTTACTAATGTTGATCACATTAACTGCACACTGTTAAATTATACCTTTCTGTTGTATATAAGTTATACTCTGTTCTATGTAATCTTTTTATGAAAATATTTGAGATTTTTTCAAGGTCAAGGCATTTCTGGTGCGCTTCCTCTATTTTCATATTAGAAATGATCTATTTTTCCATATTAAACATTATTACTGATATTAGAGGGGCTATTAGGCTGTTTGTGCTCTTTAAAACACTTTATCGTCGTGTTTATAATGAAAGCTTGTGATCAGCTTTAGCAGTGTTAGCCTGCTAGCTCTGCTACATCCGGACCTTTTCACGGCCCCGCCCCCTCAGTGCCCCGTATGCAGCGGCGGAATATGGCGGAGGAAGGACGGAAACTCTCCTGATTTTACCCGAAAACAAACCGTAAAAGTGTCGGTTTTTACTCCGGGCGACTCTCCGCCGGTTCGCGTACCGGAGCAGATGAGGAGCGGACAGATCTCCGATAGCGCTGATCAGATGGGATCGTTTTTTCCGCATTAAAACTTGGTGAGTTTAACAAATTTCCTTCCCTGCAAACTTATTAGCCGTTAGCCTGTTAGCCTGTTAGCCTGTTAGCGGGCTTCTCTCCGGATTAAACGGCGCTAACATTAAAATCCGCCCTCAGCCGCAGATCAGACCGCGGTGCGGGTCCGGGGCCGGGCTGTGGTTTTATCCGGTAGTGTGAGGCTTTGCGGGAGACTCGGAGCTGAAGTCGCTTCCTATTTTCCAGCTTCTTGTTCGAATTTCCCCGGTCCACCTTAAATGGAGCAGCAGTTCCATCCCGGCCCCGCAGGCGTTATAATAATAAAGGCTCCACCATTTAAGGTGGGACGGGGAGATTCGGAAAAGAAGCCGACTAAAGCTTCGTGCGGGAGACGCTGTTTGATGGTGAATTAGTCTTTAAGCTAATTTAAGCTGAAGCCCAACTCAGAGTTCAGAGCTCGGGCTGAGGCTGGACTCGGTTACTGTAATGCGGGGCTGTTTGGATCAATAAGCTGCTGTTTTCTCTCCCGATCGCTCTCCGTCCTGATCAGATCAGTCCCGGCTTCAGATCGGCGCAGTTTTATTTGCAGAGGTTTTTGGTGGTTTTTGTGTTTTAGCTCAGTGAGTTAGAAGCTAAAATGTGGTCCAGTACATTAAAATGAATGATCACTACATGCAGCCCAGCAGCTCAACTCTTTAAATGACTAAATTCCTTAAGATTAGAAACAAATGGTCTGACTTTGTCGTTTGCTCTTCTTGCTTTTGTCTCCTTTCACAGTCCTCCTTGGGGAATTCAAGCCCAGGTAAATCTCTCTTCTGTTTTGGTTGCTCCTGCACAAGTTGATGGTTTTCCTGCTCTAAGGCCCACCAGACTGAGCTCCAGAGGGACTATATATATGGCTGCTGTCAGAACAAAACCTCATGTATCATTGTGTATAAATGTCATGATGAATGGACCAAAAGAAACGGCCAAAAAGGCTTTGGAAAAAATTCTGGTTCCATTGACTTTCATTGAAAGTAAAGTCAGTTTTTTGCTTTTCCTGTAAAGATACCATTTTGGGGATACAAGGTTCTCTTCCAACAGCAGTGAGATTATATATATTCTTCTTTTGGTCCATTCATCACGACATTTTATACACAATGTAAAGGGCAACAAGCATTTTCAAATAATGTAAAGAAACTGAAAAATGACCAAAATGGAGATGAGAGGAGATAATGGAGATATATATATATATTCTTTGCTTCACCTGCTCTACCCCAAACGGTCACAGTCACCCAATAACAATTAAGAAAAACAGACCTATTATGACTCACTAGAATGTATTATGACTCTGTATGGTTTTGTGTGTATATTTTGAGCTCAGGATGAACGTCTCGTGTGTGTTGTGTTCCCTCAGGACGAGGTGGTGAAGCTGTGTAAGGAGATGGAGAGTCAGGCCGCTGCTGAAGATCGTGATCGCACTCGCTCTGCTAAAGGCTGCAGCACAGCAGAGCTCATTCGGCCTCAGAACCGCCCCTACTTCCAGAGTAAGACCCTTCACGGCATCTTATATCAGTGCCGCCAGCATGAGGCACTGCAGACTGTTTCTCTTATTCACTGCATACCTGTGTCGTTCAATTCTTATTGACTGGCCCAGCTTTCCATCACTCTGAAGTCTAAATCTCAGACCGGATAATAATTCCGTTTTAGTAACGATTCATCAGGAAACAGTTCGGTGAATCATGCAAAGTTTCAAATTTCACCACATTTCAGTTTGATTGGATTTACACAACATACGTAGTTGTTTATTATTATCATTATTATTATTAGTAGTATTTTTATTTATAATTTGAAAACAATTGCAGTCCTTTACGTTGTGTGAACATGTCATGATTAATGAATGAATGGAACAACAAAAATGATCCAAAAATGACATTTAAATTCAAACATGAATACAGTAAAAATAGCCAAAATTTGTATTTTGAAAAAACAAGTTAATATGTTATGAGCTTGGTTCCGTATTTCTCCTGGACTCCTCCAAACATCACATGAATGTATTGAATTCTATCATCAGCACCTGATTTATTTAACAAGGGACTGATTAGATAAATCAGATATTTCAATCTAATTAAAATCAAATTAAAATACCATTAATAAAACCGTTGATACCATTTGTGTTAATTTGAATATTAGTGTTTCTCTGAACAAATTAGTGCTTACCAACCAGATAAACAGCTTTTAAAATATAATTTTCTCAGGCTCATGCTATGTTTCCTTTAATGGATTAATCAATCTGAGTTTTAAAAAAGGCCAAACTTAAATGAACAATAAAAAACATGCAGAGCCTTTCAAAAATTATACAACATTTTACTGGAGTAAGATAGAGTAGAACACTTTTTTAAAAACTTCATTTGGAATGTAAAAATGGCAAAAAATGCATAGGAATAGGGCGTTAGATAAGCTAAACATCGTAGCTGCTCATACTACACAGCGCTAGGTAAGCTAAAAGCCACAGCTTCTCGCGCTACACAGCGCTAGGTAAGCTAAAAGCCACAGCTTCCCGCGCTACACAGCGCTAGGTAAGCTAAAAGCCACAGCTTCTCGCGCTACACAGCGCTAGGTAAGCTAAAAGCCACAGCTTCTCGCGCTACACAGCGCTAGGTAAGCTAAAAGCCACAGCTTCTCACGCTACACAGCGCTAGGTAAGCTCACACAACAGATTTTCATGTGTTACGGATTCCTGAATGGTGAGGTTCCCATTAACATGACCCTGTATAAAACATGGAAAAATACAGGAGACAGTTGTTGTCTTTCATGCAGGCTGGCTGTTCACCTTCTGAGGGAAAAAACCCCCAACTCCTGCGTAACTATAGCACCCTCTAGTGGCAAGACTAAAAAAATACAGCCTCAAACTTTGCTTAACCTCTTATGCTCCAGGGTATATTTTGGTTTGTCTGAATTTACATGACCAAATCTTAAGGCAAATTACTCAGTAACTGCATGAAATAAATGTAAATTTTTATTTTATTTATTTTTTTGTAAAAGCTCCCCTTAAATGAACAGAACATGAGTTTTATGATCATACACATATTGCTATATGCTTACAATTTACTGCTGAAAGCCAAAAATCTTAGACGCTCTTTGTATTATTTTATAAAAATAATTTTCACAGAGCAGATCACTGAAGAGACGCCATCTGTTTATAGTTTATAGCTCAGATTTGTGAATGGGTCGACTTTCAGTAGAAAAAAAAAATTGTGAGTTCAGCTTCTTTTATTATAAGGGTTTAAAATTACATCACCCATCTATTTGACTGGAAAGAAGACAGTTACAGCTCTCATATGACCCCCACCTTTTGAATGAAGCTTATGAAATATGAAAGTTATGAAGAATATGACGAAGTGCAGAGTAGCAGAGTTTTATTACAAGGCAGGAAGATTTGATATTCGGATTACTCACAGGACTCACATCAGATGTCCAAATATCTGGTCGCTACCATGTTGTGTAGCTCTGATAGAGCTACTTCGGAAGAATAACGACGACTGGGTTTGGAGCAACGTGGCTCAAGATGTTTGAGCAGCCGTCGAAACCCAGCACCCCCCACGACACAGGAAGGCTGATCATCCAGAGCAATAAATCCATCAGCTTTGCTGTAACGGTTACTGGGGCTGTAGCAGCCAGCATCGCCTAAACATTAGCAGTGTTATTCCAGCATACATTAAATGTGTTGTCAAATATCGATTTTAAATATCGGCTAAATCTAAGCACTGGTTTGATGAGGATTCGGGTAATATTGATATGATTCTGATATTTTTCTGTATTTATTAGATTCTGTTTTATGTTGACTCTGGTACTTGGCATGTAAATATTCTAATTCTGATTTTGATTCATCTTAGCATTGTGGCCAGAAATACTACAGCCAATGGAGCAAATATGTTAAAGTGTAAAAACTGAAGTGCAGAGAGACGATATGTGGCCGTAAGCTACATCAATAATGACACTCGGCAACAGAAACAGAGACTCACTATGTTTACACAGCAGGTAAAAGTGGCCCAAATCTGATCTTTTTCTCCGTATGTGGCACAGATGTGTGTCTGTATGCCAGTGTGAACAGGTAAATACACTGAATCTGACATTTTAAATTCCGATACGTATCCGATCTGCGGCAAGGCAACTCACTCTGAACAGCCAGACAGGAATTCATGCGACTTTTACGCCCAACTTGACATTTGTCATAATTTCCCGCTGCTGAGACTCATAAACATTTAGGCTTATGTTTCTGTACAAAAATTAGAGACTCATCCAAAACCCTCCCTGTTTGAAGAGATTTTGAACGAAACGGCCGAATGCGGCCGGAGGAGACAGAGGCTGCAGCGTCAAAGAACAGTTTAAAGCGAACTCGAACACACTGTGGGTGATGAGCCCAGCTGTCAGTCATTGGAACTTCATAATGGCTCCTGTGATGTTGGTGAAGATGAAGCTGAACCCTCCGGGAGCGACTGGCGTTCATTGGCTGTCATGATTGTTTACCTCTGGATGAGCCACGTGACACGGTTTTTTGCACATGAGGGTCAGTATAGGAGCTGATCTGTTCAGACTGATGTCGCATACAGGTCACATTTAAAAGATAAAATCAGATTTGGGCCACTTTTACCTGCTGTGTGAACGTAGCCTTACAGTCCTAAGCCTTGTTTGAGCTGGATTAGTTTTACCAGAGGAGGTCGGTAATGTAATCTGTGCATGATTTGATTGGCTGCTTCTTTTGGGATAAAAGATCTCTGTAATTTCACCAAATTACCTGGGTCAAAACAAAATTGTGCAGACCTTTACGTCAGTATAATGCGACAGATGCCACATTTCGGAACGCCAACAACACAGTGTGTGGTGAACTGCCATATAGACTAGCATTAGGTTAGTAAAGTGGGTTCATTCAACTTACAAACCGTAAGAGATGCTTTTGTTCTCCTTGTAATTCGGCCATCGTCAAAAGTGTTGTGAATTTCAGTCTCGTCATGCATTTGAGGGTTAAGGTTCAAATCAAGCTCCATTTTACCTCTTAGCCTTGTGTTCAGGTCACAAAAATAGAAGATAAATGTAGGCATCGTTCTCTGTGTCCTGGTTTTGTTCTTACATTACTGAGGTGTTGATTGAAGCAGGACTACTATTATTGAGGGAGCTCTGATTTTGACAAATTATAGAAGGTAATTCACTCTGAAATTATTACCTTTCAGACTAAAAACTACAGACCTGACGGACTAATCCAGCTTGAATAGGGCTTTACTCAACAATGAACAGTTGAGTGAATGTTTCGAACGTTTCAAGTTTTGAATGTTGTTTTTCCTTTTCTTCTCCAGAAAAGATGGACCTTCTGGTGCAAGACATCTTTGAGCATGAGAAATACGACAGTCTGCTGAACTCAGGAGAGATTAACTATGACAGTATGACATCCAGAAGAAGCTCAAATTCTCGGGGTACCAAGTCCTTCGGTCCCGTCCACACCAAGACACGTCGCAAACGGAAAAAGAAGACCGAAATTCACAGCTGCTCAGAGTGTGGGAAGAGTTTTAAATATTTAAGTGCTCTCAAAACACACCATCTGACTCACACAGGAGAGAAACCGTTTCAGTGCTCGGAGTGTGGGAAGACTTTTGGTAGAAAGAGGAATCTCTACATCCACCTGCGCGTTCACACAGGAGTGAAACCGCATCTCTGCTTAGAGTGCGGAAAGAGATTCAGAGATTCATGTGCTCTCAAAACACACCATCTCATTCATACGGGAGAAAGACCACACAAGTGCTCCGAGTGTGGGAAGAGTTTCAATCAGAGGATCGGTCTCCGACTGCACCAGCGCACTCACACCGGAGAGAAGCCGTATCGCTGCTCCGATTGTGGGAGGAGCTTCAGCGTCCAGAGTAACCTCCTGACACACCAGCGCGTTCACACAGGAGAGAAACCGTATCGGTGCTCAGAGTGTGGAAGGAGTTTTACTAGACAGAGCAGTCTCCAAAATCACCAGCGCACTCACACTGGAGCGAAACCGGATCAGTGCTCTGGCCGAGGGAAGAGTCCTGGAGATTCAAGCCCTCGCAAAACACGCCATCCCGTTCAAAAAGGAGAGAAAACACATCAGTGCTCAGAGTGTGGGAAGACTTTTGGTAGAAAGAGGAATCTCCACATCCATCTGCGCATGCATAAAGGAGTGAAACCGTACCTCTGCTTAGAGTGCGGAAAGAGATTCAGAGATTCATGTGCTCTCAAAACACACCACCTCATTCACACGGGAGAGAGACCGCACAAGTGCTCCGAGTGTGGGAAGGGTTTCAATCAGAGGATCGCTCTCCGACTGCACCAGCGTCTCCACACTGGAGAGAAGCCGTATCGCTGCTCCGAGTGCGGCAAGACCTTCACCGTTCAGAGTAATTTCCTGAGACACGAGCGCATTCACACGGGAGAGAGACCGCATCACTGCTCAGCGTGTGGGAAGAGTTTTGGGCGTGCGAGTACTTTAATGACACACAAGTGCGTTAAAAGAGAGGCTGAAACCTCCGATTAGCGAGTTTAATAAGCGTGATTTTCGTTTAGTGATATTTTTTTCACATAATTGAAAGCTATTTTTTCATGTTGATGTTTGATGGTCTTCTAAAGAAGGCAGTTAATGTTATCAGAGTAAAGGTTAAGTCTTTGTTACATAGTTTATGTAACATTAATTATTATACTTTACAGCTTCAAGTGTTCTGTTTTTAAGTTTTAGTTCTGTATCTGTACCCATTTCTTCTTTTTACCTTTACCCCTTGTTTTTGAGTGTCACCCTAACCCCTTGGAGCTGAGTTACAAGGGGTAGTGGTTGAAATCTTCCCCTATGAAATGAGACAAAAAAAACATTTTCATTAACAGGCTACTGTATAGGCGACCCTGCCTGTCTTCAGTGATAGCAGAGGAGGGTAAAGTTCAGCTCCTCACTGCTGGGCTTTAGTTACATTTAGGGCATCATATTCCTTCAAAGAGGGGGGGCAATTATTTATTATCGCCCACCCCTAATTCTTCAGTGATATGAAGCTGAAGTCAGATATTCATCAGCTTCGTGTTCTAATTTTCCCGTTCCACCTTAAATGGTGCAGCAGTTACATTCTGGCGCTTCAGGCGTCAGAACTGCTGGACTATTTAAGGTGGAATGGCAAAGTTAGCTAGCTAGCTACCGAGACATTAGCATACTATTAGCAAGTTTTATGTTTGTTATGAAGTAAACGACCATAATACACTGAAACGACATTAAGATAATACATTGGTTATCGTAATGTTTAATTCTCACACTTGTGGGTTTCTTTGGTCTCTTGTTCAGCTATCTTTCCGTTTTTTCTTGTTTCCTCATATCTCTCTGTTTGGAGTCTCTGAAAAACCTCCATTTGGAGGGTCATGTAGCCCAAACACTTCGCCCTACCCCTCTATCTCAACAAGAATCGGGACAGCCTACCCCTAGACGTGAACGCACAAAACAGAGGGCTAAGGGCTCAGTGGTAGGGGTGAAATGGGACTGGGCCTTAAGCATGTAACAGGCGTTTGTATGTTATCTTACAAATACACAGTTATGAAAACATGCTGTGGGCTTTCAATGTAGCCCAAGGTTAGAAGGTTTCTTCGTGGCACAGGGCTACTTTCCTAAAAACATAGTGGGGCTGTTGTGCTGTCGTTAGCGTAGGTGGTTTAGTCTCAGTTTAGTAGAGGTTTGGTTAAACCGGTAACTTCAGGCGTTTGACACGCAGCTGAGCATTTAAATGAACCCCGACTGCTTAATCATAAAAAGTGCAACTCTACCTGAACTGTACAGCTGCTAAACCAGATGTGTTTCAAAATGAGTCAGAATTGACTAAAACTTTAATTATTTAATTTATACTTGCTAAGTTTAATTATAATATAGTTCAGCCTGCTGTTGTTGGAACTATTTGGTTGCAGATAATTTCCTTCACTTCATGTGGTTAAATTGGTTGGCGATGTTGGGAGGAAGGCTGGAGTCTACAGTATTTTTAGAAGGATGTTTCCAAGTTTGACTGAATAGCATTGAACAGTTGTTGAGTTTAAATTCCCACCAGCATCTTTGGCTGCAATTGCTGAGGCTGAGGATGTAGTTGCTGGTGGGATGTTACTTCTTGGGGGGGGGGTTTTTTGCAGACCTCACAAAGATACATGAATTCAATGCATGTAATATCTGCTAATTTAAAATAAATTATAAGCTATAAACAATTGCAAATGAGTCTGTGTTGTACAAAGGTTTAAATTATAACTGTTTCAAACTGTAATGCGTACGTCCTCAATGGGTGAAAATGTTTGATAAGTGATCAGGTTTGTATGATTCAGCTTGTTCCACATGACCTTTATGATTTGAAAAGTATTGATTGTTAAAAGTTTTGGGGGTCCAGAAGGCACTGAATACCAGGAATGGTCCAAATATATTAGTTCAAAGTTCATCATCATTCTTTATGAAAAATTGTGTCGCAAGTGACCAACAAACTCGAGCATCTGCAGTTTGCCAGATGTTACTGTAACTTTCAGTGGACCGTGTTCTGTGGTCAGATGAGACCAAAAGAGAGGTTTTGGCAACAAACACCATGGGTGAGTTTGGTATGAACACAAAGACAGCCATGCAGAAAAGTTCCTCATCACCACAGTGAAGTATGGTAGTTTTCCTCGCGCAAGAACTTTGAACTGGAGTCTTACTCGCTTGCGAATTTTGATTTTGATTTGGATTTGACGCCATACAGGTCACCTTTGTAAATACAGTTGGCGCCTTTCGAAGCGGTCAGTCATTGCAGGCCAGAGCACTTCACAAAATAAGCCACAAATATAAAAAAGCTATAATGTATTGGCCCCCACCTGCGCCAGCGTTTTAGGGCCACTGTTAATAAAAATGAAAATAGTAGACTTCGAGAATAAAGTTGTAATATTTAGACAAAAAAGTAATATTTCAAGAAATAAGTTGTACTATTTGAGAAAAAAAGTCATAGAATTATGATATTAAAGTGGCATTAATACCAGGAAAGGTCGCAGTATTGTGGCCAAAGGCTTTGCAGAGGGAGGGCAGCACCTCCTCGTGTTAAATGAGGGGCGGTGAGTTGGTGGAGTTATACTTTCATATCGAGACACCCATAAAGAAACACTCAGTCTCCCTGTCTCTCCTGCACATCAGCACCAGCCTGTTATTAGTATAAGAACCGGCTGAAACCGCTGAGCAGGAAACTGTTTATCTAGAATAAAGAGCCAGACGGACTCGGAGGAAACTGTCTGTCTGTGTTGTTGAAGGAGAATCTCAGGCAGGGTCGTCTACACGGCTATCGGGGCTCCATCTCCCCCCATTCAAAGAGGGCATGAAGTTTCACAGGCAGTGAGAATGATGATCAAAATGATCCACAGAGAGACAGGAGTGAGTGGAGCTCCGGCGCCAGTACAGCAACCGAGACCCCAACGCGTTATGGCAGCCCCCCTATAGTTAGCCCACTTTATCCTCCAAATATTACGACTTTGTTCTCGAAGTCTACTGTCCTCCCTGGCACAAGCTTCTGCTAACAAAGTTATAAAACAGAGGCGAGCACCAGGGAGGTGGGGACAATACATTATTTCGTAAAATGTCTCAAACTTTAATGGAGCAATTAAATTAAAATTTGAAAGTGAAGGCATTGCTAGGATTTATGTTGATGTCCCATAAAGCTGAAGACTAACACAGATAGCAAAGTAACGGTGAATCAACGTTGATATCGCGTCTTTTTTGGTTCATGACCAAAAATCAACCACAAATCAACATTGATTCAACAGCTCTGCGTTGTTTCAGTGTTTCTTTGCTATCTGAATGTGGATCATGTGGTCCATTCTACTGCTTTTCTAATGAAGCCCTTTTTACAAAATTACAATTTTATTACTCCATCATTTTATAATTTACGGCTGTGATAATACAGGAACAACTGCTTAATTAAAATAATATTTCAGTAAAGTAAAAACAAAAATGCAATTATTTCACCAGTTATTTTTTTATTTTCTGATGAATAAACCTTTTTTAATTCAAAATCATAATCATTATGTATAGAAAAATAGAAGTAAGTATAATATGAATATAGAGGTATGTGTAAAATTAGTCTGTAGATGATGTAAAATATGCCATAAGAACTTATTTTGAAGCTTGTTAAGGATGTGGATGTTCAGAAACAAATATGATGATGACTTGATGACCATTATGACATTAGAATTAAAACCCGATGACCATTAGAACCATTAGGATTGAAACCTGGGGCCGTATTACAGAAACATCTTAAGTCTGGAATCTGATCTGATGACTCAGTACGGACTGAATTGAGTTCAGTATCTATTCCAGAATATCAGTTCCTAACTTCATAATCTCATCATTAACTCCAGATAAGAAAACAGCATCACACAAACATCCTAACTAGACTAAACCTCCTAAATACTGTCCTAACTTTAGGATGAACCCCAACAGGGTCCCCACTTCTGTTTAACTGTCTGTTTCTACTGTTGTGCAGTGACAGCGCTGTCACAGTATTCACAACTTACAGTTTATCACACTTTAGTTTTGTTTGACCTTTTTTGTGCATCAGTAAAAGCCCACATAGCGAGCATATCGGTCTGCTGGCTTGATAAGGTCGGCACCCCACTGACTGTTTGCCACTGCTTTTCCAACCACTGACCGCCCCGATTACTGTCCTGTGCACAAGCTCTAACTAGTAAACAAATTTGAATGAACAGAGACTTTTATTCTAGAAAATAAACTAAGACAAATATTACAAACAACGGAGAGGTGAAAAATAATGACTAGGCCTGATATAAAATGATTTTATAGAAAATGTCTTTGCTGATACTGAGCTGGATTCAAATTATTTACTTAACTAAGTATAACGAAAGAAATGAAGGAAGGAAAATCAGTAAACTGGACTGTGAGTGGAAAATGAACAGTGATGAGAGGAATTTTGTATAATACTCTGTTTAAACACTGGTGGACCGGCCAGAAAACGCTGAGCAAGATGCCAGTGGACAGCCAGCTTTGACATCACTATCCTCTAGTCATCAGGTAAGCTAAGACTCTTAAATTAAGACCAGATTTGCTTCTGTAATATGAATTTGTGAAAAATCTTGACCTGTCAGATCTAAAGTTAAGACAAGAAGAGAGGAGGATTCTGTAATACGGCCCCTGGCGACCAATAGAACTCTTACCATTAGAGACCACTAGTTTAGTGTAGATAACATTAATAAACCATCAACTGCATCTGGAATCAGTCGAAAACCACCTGTTAAACCATTAGAGTCCTTTACACTGCGATATCAACCCATTAGGAAAACACAGAATACCATTACTGACTATTGGACACCACCAGCAACCAAGAGAACCTTTGAATGGGTTCTATGTTTTTTTTTGGCAGGGATGAAAGACCAAGAGAGATGTTTTATGAGATGTTCTCTTTGTAACACAGATGAGATTACAAATAAGGCCCCCCAGCTCCACCTGGGTCTGGATCATGTGGCTCCAGTAGCCTCTGCAGTCCAGCAGGTGGCGCTAACTCTATAACTGCTTCAGCAGCTCCATAAACCAGAGAAGAAGGTCTCCAGTGTTGGAGGAGAAAGATCAGGAGCTGCACTGCTGCAGGTGAGATGTTCTGGTTTTTCACGTTGTTTTCTATTTTTCATCCATCCTTTAAGACCTGGGTGTGAAGAAGAAAGTCGCGATGGCTGATTGGAGCCTCGTGAAGCTTTAAGACTTTCCCCTGATTGTGCTGGCAAATGCTCTGACGCCTCGGAGCGATGAAAACAGCGACATCTTGTGGTTAACATATATTATAGCAAGCATAAGATCACTGGATAAAGACCCAACACACATCATTAACGCAGGCTGGCGGCTCGATGTGCACAAATACAGATCTCACAAAACTGTTCATTTCATTCACTTATCGAAGAGAGACACTAAACGGCTGTATGAATCAATATATTAGTCAAGGTGATTTAACAGCATTTAACTGTTTGTGATTTGCCACGACAGAATCAGCCACAGTTGACTGGTACGGTGCAAGAGGATGTGATAATTAAGCAATCAGTACACAGGAGAAAGATTGGGAGAATAAGAATGTGTGTTGGAGAACAGTTGAAAATGCTTATGTGACTTTAGATTGGCAGTGCCTGTGTAACTGAGTGTGGGGATATGGATGGGAAGGTCTTTATTGCTTATTTTATTCAGGAATAAAGGTTGTTTTACTGTTTTGGGGCCAAGTCTGTTCCGCCACTTTGAAACAACTTCTCCTGCCTAAAAGAACACCCTCTCCTGGGACTTACACAGTCCTGGCACTTGAGCAGTACAGCCAGCTAGTCTGTTCCACTGACGACCCATGAATCATTTAAGCACGCAAAGGGTTCTTTGAGTGTTCATGGTTTTATATAACCATTGTCTTTATTAAAGAACCCCTAAAGAACTATCGTTTTTAAAACTGCACATTTTGAGATTTTTAGATATTTAATGTTAATAGCTTAATTTATGGTGATTTATAAGCAGCTCTGATGAACAAGAGATGTCATTTTTTTCCGTTATGTGTGTGGTATATAAATATTTTTATAAGAGCTTGTTATAAGAGCACACAAAGCTTAAACTGTCACTAGGTGCCATGGCCGTGGCAGTTGATTACGTGAAAGGATTGTAATTCACAGTTTTTTGTATTTATTTGTGGGATCCGGTTTATGTCACTGCTTGTGTATTCTTAAAATTAGTATTTTTGTAGTTTATGATGTAACCAGACTAGTAATCTGCCACACCTTGGGTGTTTTCCTAGGCCATGATACACCTAGAAATAAATGGGCTAGGCAGAGAAGTTCAGTAGCTAAAGTTTGCAGATATTCTTATATTTAAGCAGGACACTCTGGTATCCAAGGCTCAAAGTCAAATAAAAAACAAATTGTCTTGCTCTGAGGAGAGCTTTGGATTCCAACCCCATGTTCCTAATCCTCAGTTTAGGAACATGATTTGTTCAGACAAATGTCAGATTTAGGTCACAGTAAAAAAAAAAAAAATACTGTGAACAACCTAATAAAGAAATTAGATTTGGTGAGAAAATCAGATTTGCGCCACTTTTATCTGCTGTGTGAACAAAGCCTTTGTTGCCGTTCACCGTTTTTGAATTTTGTTTTTCTTTTTCTCTTCTAGAAAAGAGACATTCTGATGCAAGGCATCTTCCAACATGAGGAATACGCCAGCCTGCTGAAATCAGGAGAGATTAAATATGACAATATGGCATCCAGAAGAAGCTCAAATTCTCAGGCAGCCAAGTCCTTTGGTCCTCTCCACACGAACGCATGTCATGAAGGAAAAAAGAAAAACGTAAGCAGTGGCTGCTCAGAGTGCGGAAAGAGTTTTAGTCAGCAGCGACGTCTCCAGCGACACCAGCGCGTTCACACAGGAGAGAAGCCGTTCTATTGCTCAGAGTGTGGGAAGAGCTTTTCTCGCCGCAGTAATTTTCAGAGACACCAGTACATTCACACAGGAGAGAAACCGCACCAGTGCTCTGAGTGCGGGAAGAGTTTTAGAGATTCGGGTTCTCTGAAAAAACACCTTCTCGTTCACACAGGAGAGAAACCGTATCAGTGCTCAGACTGCGGGAAGAGCTTTAATCAACAGATCACTCTCACACTGCACCGGCGCATCCACACAGGAGAGAAACGGTATCACTGCTCAGACTGTGGCAAGAGTTTTACCCTGAAGGGTAATCTCCAAAAACACCAGCGCATTCACACAGGAGAGAAACCGTATTACTGCTCTGAGTGCGGAAGGAGCTTCACTCTGCAGAGTAACCTCCAGAGACACGAGCGCGTTCACACGGGAGAGAAGCCTTATCACTGCTCCGAATGTGGGAAGCGTTTTACCATACAGAGTAACCTGCAGAGACACCAGCGCATTCACACAGGAGAGAGACCGCATCACTGCTCAGACTGTGGGAAGAGCTACAGGCGTGCAAATGCTTTAATGACACACAAGTGCATTAAAACAGAGGTCGAAACCTATGATATCTGTTAGCAAGTTTAATAAGCATGATTGTCATTAGTGATATTTTTACACAGAATTGAAACCTGTATTTTTCATGTTGACGTTTGTCTTCTAAATATCACACTTGTTTATGTTATAAGAGTTAAGGTTAAGACCTTTTCTGTGTTATGTACAGGGTGATTGAAAAAGATTCATCCGATTTAAAAATGATTTATTTCACTTGTAAATCATTACAGATCAATGCAATAAACTGTAAATGGTCTAAATGATCAAAGTTTATTACGTAATTTCACAAGTGCTCAGTATGAACCTCCTCCAGCTGTATGGACAACATCAACGCCATAGTCAAATTCATCCCATACTCGATTGAGCATGTCGGGTGTCGCTGCACTCATGACTCTTTCAGTGCGATTTCGGAGATCATCCAGCATTGTATGACGGATTCACTCTTATTGAAGTGGAGAATGCAGAACGCTTTCTGCTCAGGGGTCTCATCTCCTCTCAGACTGAAGGGAGCCATCTTCCACTGACAGAAACTCTATGACCCCCTCTTTCAATTGGATTGTGATTGGTTCCTAGGCTCCTTCACGGTTGTCAAAATATGGCACTTTGAAATCGGATGAATCTTTTTGAATCACCCTATATATTTAATAGTAAATATTATGCTTCAACAGCTCAAATTTTTAGTTCTGTATCTGTACTTTATGATTTAGGCACATAACAAAGGCATTTATATATTTGTAAGATAACACACAGTTATCAGAACATGCTGTGGATTTTAAATGTAGTCTAGAACTGTCAGACAGGCTTTTTGTGAACTGTGCAAGACCAAGACCTTTTATGTAAATTCAAGGTTAGAAGGTTTCTTGGTCGATCAAGGTTACTGCTCTAAAAACATTGTTGTGCTGTCATTAGCGTAGCTGTGGTTTTGTCTCAGTTTAATACGGATTTGGCTAAACTGGTAAATTCAGGGGCTTGACACACAGCTGAGCATTTAAATAAACCCCGACTGCTTAATCATAACAAGTGCAACTACCTGAATTGTACAGCTGCTAAACCTGATGTACTTCAGAACAAGTAAGAATTGACAAAAACTGAACACTGCATAATAATGTTATTATTATAATATCATATTTAGCTATTGTAGTGCTGTTAAGTTGGTTCTGACTCCTGGTGCCCATATTGGTTAGTGCTTCTCGAGTGTATCCTATCTTCTGTTTGGATGTTTAAACCTTTTAATGGCTGTTTCATGATTCCTCTGCTTACCTTCGTCCATTGATGACCATCCTCTTCTTCTTTTGCCTTCAACTGTTCCAAGCATTATTGTGTTGTTTGCCAATTAATTGGTTCTTCTCATTATATGTGTTAAAATGTGAAAAAATGTGTGCAAAAATCTGAAAAGTTTGGAAAATAGTATTGTATTTTTTGAAGTTTGGGGGTCCAAAAGACACTGAATTCCAGGACAGATGTGAACATCTATACATTGTTTTCTGTCAACAGTTGCCTTTAAAACTGCCTTGGTGAAGCTTCTGCTCAAAATGAGTAGCATGGATCCTTCCATAATGAATCATTTTAGACCAATTTCTAACTTTTTTTAGAAATGCAGGCTTTTTTTTACATTTGTCTGTACAGTCATCAAAGTATTAACAGCCATCAAAGTTGTTTTAACATCAAACCTTGGCCATGCTGAAATTAATATACATGATTCAAAAACAAACGTGTTAACTTATATTCACTTAGAAAATCAACAACACGTAATTTGAAAGGGAGGGTTCACACTTTTGTACAGGACAAATATTGGAGCCAATCACAATCCAATTGAAAGAAGGCGTCATAGAGTTTCTGTCACCGCAAGATGGCGCTCCCTTCAGTCTGCGAGGAGATGGCGACCCCAGAGCCATGAGTACAGGGACACCCGTCATGCTCAATCGAGTATGGGATGAATTTGACTATGGCGTTGATGTTGTCCGCACAGCTGGAGGAGGTTCATACTGAGCACTTGTAAAATTACCTACCTGTCTATCTTCTTTGTGATCACTGGTTCCAATAGCCTCTGGAGTCCAGCAGGCGGCGCTAATTCTATAACTGAGCTTCTGTGACTGCACAAAGCGGAGAAGAAGATCTGACCACAGCGTTGTTGAAGGTGGACAGGAGCTGCACTGTCACAGGTGAGCGCTTCTGTCGCTTTTTAATGTTTTTGATGTTTATTTTGTGCAGAATGCTGAATGTGCATGTCTGAACAGCAGTTAAAGGTGTGAGCTAATCGGAAACAGTCCAAGCCGGGCTGTGAGGCTGAGGTCAGCCTCTTGTTCGGATTTGCTCGTTCCACCTTAAACGGTGCCGCAGTTAGAGGCGCCAGAATGTAAATGCTGGTCCATTTAAGGTGGAACGGGAGCTGGCGAATAGTAACGGTGGCTCTGTGTCCGATTGGTAATCTGGTCTAATCTGTTGCAGGTTTAACGCGCTGTGTGGTTTTGGAACACATTTTTGCCAAACGAAAATCTAAAGTCTTGTTATTTTGTGGGTTAAACGCACACTTTTCCCATTTATATAACCAAAGCCACTACTTTGTCATTTAGCAGCTGTATATCTGAGACATTGTTTTGATGGAAACAGGGATGTATGACCGCAGGACCATCTGACCATCTGAGTTAGTACATCAAATCCGTGTAAACAGAACCGACATGGGAATGTAAACACAGGGGAGTGAACGGGGTGGGAAACTTTCACAGCCAGTTAAAGTGTGTGACCATCATGTTCAACACTTTTGGGATTATTAAACAATGGATTAGCACAGTATGTATAATATTGAGTTGTTAATCTTAGTTTACAGTCAGCCAAGTTACCTCAGCCTATGTATATGTCGTTTTTCAGTTTTTTGACATAATTTGAAAATACCCATTACCATTTACATTGTATGTACATTTTATGATAAATGGACCCAAAGAAATGACCCAGAATGACTCGGGGGGGAGAGAGTCTGGTTCCACTGGTAAAGTAGGTTTTCTCCTTCTCCTGTAAAGTTACCATTTTGGAGATACAAGGTTTTCTTCCGACAGCAGTGATGTGTATGTGTGGCACTACAGGTCCTGTTTTGTCTGTTACAACTTATTTAATCTCAGAAAAGTGATATCAGGATGCAGGACACATCACATCCCCATTGTCAGAAAGAATGACTTTGTGACTCAGGAAATCATTGAAAATCTGTTAAAAGTCATCGGGCTAAGTGACCCCAAATTTGCAGACAGTAAATCGTGAGTGATATTGGCAATTTAGATTTTCATACTTTAATTAAATACACTTTTGTGGCCAAGTCAAAAATGGCAGTAGACTACAACCCCCAATATCACTGAACATTGCTATTATTATTTTTTTCTCAAAGATTGAGATTCAATTCACAAGGTTTCACTGTGTTTGCTTCCTTGTCCATGTCATTGGAAGGTAAAGGAGACCCCCAAAGCCTAGTTTTTTTTTTGCTCAAATCCGTGATGTGAACGAACCGGCATCCTGAAATGACCCGCATGCGCACATCTTACTCAGTAACGTCACGTGAATCACATGCATCATCAGCACAAACTAACGAGCAGAACGAGCTTCGCTGAGAAGATAATTAACTCTGATCAGCTCTCAGCTTCATTATTAGAGTGAGACAAAGGAGAAAAAGGTGAGATGAGCTGCTTTTCCACCGTTTACAGGCTTTAACTTCTGTTCGGCGCTGCTGCCATGGTAACGCTGAATGATGGCGCACGCGCAGCGGAAAAAAAAGCACATGAATTCCGATCTGAGTGTCACATTAAGGTCACATGGCCACGAATCGGATATGTATCCGATCTAGGACCACATTTGAAAGTGGCTCAGGTCAGATTTGAAAAGATCAGATTTGTGTCCACACAGCCCTGAAAACATCAGATCTAGTCACATTAGGGCAAAAAATCGGATTTGTGACACTTCAGCCTGGTAATGTGAACGTAGCCTATGTGCTCCGCCAGGGTCTGGCCATAACATTACACTATTACCAATGTATTTGCTATACAGTTTTTAAAAAAAATCTGGACATGAATCAGAGTTGTATCATCCTTTCTTATAACTAAGTATATTCTTTAAATTGACAGTATTTCTTTTCTTTACAGGTTACATCAACCCTGCGCCCCCTCTCAGGATCGTAGTGGATCCATCCAGCCCCTACAAGGTGATTCCTGTGGACACGACTGGTGAGTGTACACACAGTTTTCAGTTTACTGTATATATTTTTAAAAAGCAATGTTCTTGGAGCTTCTGTGTTTTAAAAGCAGTCTAGAATAGTTTTGAATGTTCTGTATGGTGTTGTCTTGAGTATTTGAATATTTTTATAAGACTAAGAAAAGCTCCATGTGTATTTGACTTTCATGATTGAATCAGAGCAATTTCTGTATTCTTATCGTTATTATTCTTTTTTATGATTATTGTTTGTTTAGCTTTTTTCTTTGATTGCTGCTATATAGTATTTTAAATAACCTGTTAGTAATGTAGATATACTACAAAGTAGTGGAAAAACATCACTAATAAATAGTCACAACAAGTAGCACCAGGCTGATTTTTAACCACAAAGTCTTGATAAGACATGTTGTCGGTGAATGGGGGGGTAACCGTGCTTCAGGTTCTTTGAGTTTTTAAGCTGCTCAAAACCACTTTATACCCCAATTCATGCTAAAGTCAGCAGTGTCTGTCCTATTGCCAGTTTTTTTTCTTATCGCTGTAAAATCTTAGAGATATTTCCTTCTGCTTCAGACAGGTAGCTCCAGCAGGTAACCAGCATGATATTGATCTTACTTGAAAATAAATGGAGTGGAATACATTTTAGCCAGTAATACAGAGCATTAGGAAAAGCATTTGGACTGAATCAGGTGACTAAAACCTGGTTTTACCTGGAAGATATTATCTCCTCAAATTAGAGCTCTAATGCAAACAGTTAGTAACAGAGTCTTGACAGCCTGACGCCCGACTACTCAACATGGCTTTGACAGGGAACAGACATGAAAAAGAGGGCTAACCATAAGTTGCTGTTTTTGCGTGACGAGTAGGCAGATTATCTTTCCCCTTCCTCTCGACCGACCCTGAAATACTCTTGAGCAGAGGTTCCCAACATTTCCAAACCCGCGGCCCACACAGTTGAACTAATGAGATCAGTCAAAGTGCAAACAAATGTAATACAATAATGAAATGAAATAATAGCCAGTCAGTTTGGCTTGATTTTGTAATTCAACAGAACACAAGAAACACTAAAACATACCCAAACATTTTCTTACTTACCTAATGAGTTAGCTGATGTGATCTTCTTGAAGAACAGTGTGTTTAGGAACCACAAAGTGCTGGATGACATGCTGAAGAAATAAAAGTTTGAGCGGAGTCTGGCTCAGTTCAGTAGGATTAGATGCTGATGGCGTATTTTGTTTGGCTTCTTTATTTAAAAGAAGTTACTGAGCGTGCAGTACAGGGCGGCAGTTGATCACTTTCTGTTCTAATACATGATGAGGGGCGACAGTAAATAATTCAGTCACGTGTATGACAGGTAATATTCTGCACACCAGACATGTTTTTTCGATTGGTGAAAATGAGACATTATTTTGCTTGATATTTGCAAACTTTCACCAGTTCAACTGGTTCACTTCACTTTTCACCAGTTCACTTTCAACTGGGTTCATTTGTCCGTTTTTTTTACGGATGGTTTTACCATCTCCTAAAGCAACTCAAGCAGGATTCAAACTGAGTTACAAATATCCAAGCTGTATCAGAAGCTCACAAAGTTCCGGCTTCTGAACGAGGTGGTGAAACTTTTTACAAAAAGGGAAAATGCTCACTTTGTCATTGTTTGCCCATTTTGCAAGGAACAAAGGAGATCTTTGTCACCTGAAGACATTCTGCCTGTTTGTTCTTGTTACAATGTGAGAAGGCACCACTCGTACCAGCGCAACACGCATTAACACACCACCATGTCAGTGTCACTGCAGTGCTGAGAATGACCCACAACCCAAATAATACCTGCTCTGTGGGGGGTCCTGACCACTGAAGAACAGGCTAACAAAGTATGCAAAGAAACAGATGGACTAGAGTCTATAGTTGTAGAACTGATAAAATGGACAATGAGTGTCGATACAAGGAGGTAGTTTTAATGTTTTGGCTAATTAGTGTATGTTAGCATTCTTTTCTACATCTGTATCAAAAGGTATCTCATCATGATGCAAAAGTGGCAATACGTATCAAGTAGGCAGCTTAATTATGAAATTTCAAAAAACAAACTGACAGCCCTTATAAGCTGTCTGGAAGTTGCATCTTTTTTTCAGTTTCAGTCTCGATCTCCTGTCTGCCCACAGAAAACAACTAGTAGCCGAGTTAAATAAATTGAAGTGTCAGCGATCAGTTGTAATGGTTAGATGACACCTGCCTAAACACCGTAAATGGCTGGATCACTTCTTATTGCTTCCGGAAGGGGTTCCATCACAATTCTGAACTGAAAATATTACTAAAACCGAGAAAGTAAGTCTTAATTGCTCAGGTAGAGTGAAATATCCCTTAACTGTGTAGAATCACTTTGTACTACTGGTATTTGTAATTAGAGTGGAAATAAAGTGGAGTATTTTACTTTGCAATAACAAACACCAAACAGTCTCAAACAGCTCCCGCATGATCATGAGAAAGTTGCTCTACAGCAGGGGTGTCCAATCTTATCCACAAAGAGCCGGTGTGACTGCAGGTTTTCACTCCAAACATGCTGAAGCAAACCTGATTCTACTTGTTTAATCAGTCGGTCTTAGTCTTCAAAGATTTCATCAGGTGACCTGCTTTGTTGGCGTGAAAACCTGCAGCCACACCAGCCCTCTGTGGATAAGACTTTTTTTAACACTGTTTTGTTATAATTTACCTTTTGTCACCTGCAGAAATGCCAAGTCCCAGAGCTGTGTATCCCACGTTTCGTCCATGCTCAGTCTCTGTAGATGAGTTTGGTGCATCAAGGAATGCTCATGCTTTTTTCGGTGTGTTAAAGCCGGGATTCCCTAGCCTAGTCCATTTTTGTGGTTTCCCTACTCCACACACCTGACCAAGCCAACGAGGCATGAGTTAATTAGACAGAGTTTAATTGAGTGAGCTTATTACAACAAAGCACAAAAATGTTTTTTAAAAAATTGGGGGTTTGTCTGTTCATCTGGGTTCATCTGTGGTACATAATATCTTTATAAGATTCAGAGAGCCAATATTGGCTCGTTGTGATCTTCAGGCCTTGAGGTGGCACTGTATTAGAAACAGACACGATTCTGTAGTGGAAATCACTTTATTGGCTCAGGAACACTTGCAAAAACCACTGCCTGTGGACACAGTTTAAGAGTGCATCCACAAATGTAAGTTAAAATTTCACCATGCAAAGAGAACACACCATATAAATAGGATCCAGAAACGCTGCCGACTTCTCTGAGCTCATTTAAGACGGACTGAGGTGTAGTTGATAAGTGCCCTGTGGTCTGACAAATCAATATTTTTAATTATTTTTGGAAATCATGGACACTGCGTCCTCTGGGCTAGAGAGCAAAGGGACCATTTGGCTTGTTATCAGCACACAGTTAAAAGGCCAGCATCCATGATGGTCTGGGGGTGCATTATTGCACATAGCATGAATGACCTGCACATCAGTGAAGGCACCATTAATGCTGAATGATATTTACAGGTTTTGGAGCAAGATATGCTGCCTTTCAGGCAACACCTTTTTCAGAGAAGGCCTTGCTTATAGTGTGTGTGTGTGTGTGTGTGTGTGTGTGTGTGTGTGTGTGTGTGTATATGGCATGGTGTGCCAGCTTTTGGAAATGGACTTGGATATAGAACCTTATAAAACACATTTTTCACCAATCTAAAGAACCATTTCACCATGCAAAAACACAATTAAGCACGAAATGGTTCTATATAAAATTCATGGTTCTAAATAGAGCAGTTCCTTTTATTAAAGAACTCTTGAAGAACCATCTTTTTAAGAGTTTTTGTGTGCTGCATACCTGTACATCTCAAGAAGTCAAAGTTATTCTGATACTCTGGGCAGCGTAGCGTCTCATACAGAGGTAAACATGGTGGGCAGTAAATGGATTTGTTTAGGTGGTTCTGTGATACCCATGGCCGTGCCCCTGAGAAGGCCAACACATTATCAGATTGGCACTTTTTCTACATTTAATCTTAGGAATGGAGATTGACAAAAAGCCTTTTGAAACTACAGAGATCCGGACATCAATGTCCTATAGCTAGTTACGGCCATGCTCTCCTGGTGTGCAATGGACTTATTCAATCTTGATGGTGCCTTCTTCAGCCCAGATGGCAAACACTTTTGGAATCCGTTTCTGGAGGAAGTCGACGGGTGATCTCCCCTCACACTTTTCAGGTAGGCTAATAATTTTGATGTTTTTCTGTCTGCCTCTGTTTTCCAAGTTGTCAAATTTTTCTTGGAGTTCAAGCATGGCTTTGCAGCCATCACTTCTGTACCACTTCCTGATCTTCGATTGAGCTTATCCAAGCCTCAGTTTCTCAAACTTTTTTTTAGAGAAATTAGCTACCTGCAGCTAATTGAGGCTGTCGACTGAGTTGACTGCTTGATTGAGTTTTTTCTCTAGTATAGTAACAGTTTTGTCTGATACTTCTTGAATTGTCTGTGGGACTAGTAGTGTTTGTGGCCATCTTGCCCTTTTCCTTGTTTATATGTAGTTGAGCAGAGTGATTTGGTATTTCTACATTTGTACATATACATGTATTCTTGCTCTTAGATGCTCTTATCCAAAACGACTTTCAAAAGTGCTTTGTTGTCCTCTCAGAGAATGCAAAACTACCCTTGAGTTCAGACACTGCCAGAAACAAAAGCCAGTGCCAATACCGAGAAAGAAAGATGTAGAATGTAGTGTGAGGGCAGTACAGTGCATTTCAGTAAGTGCTTAGATAAGTGCTTCACAAAGAGATGAGTCTTCAGTTTACATTTGAAGACCGCAAGGGAGTCTGCTGTTGGGACAGCCAGAGGAAGTTCGTTCCACCACCTGGGTGCCAGGACAGAGAAGAGTCTTGATGCTTATCTTCCATGCATCTTGGCAGGTCAAGCCAAGCTGTACTTGAAGCTCGAAGGGCTCAAAGTACAAACTGAATTTTGACCACTGCAGTCAGTTGGGAAGGGGCTGGTCCATTTCTGGCTTTGCAGGCAAGTATTAAGGAG